AAGGCTGCCTAATAGACCTCTCAGTTGTGTTTGGACGAGACTATGAACAGGTGGTCTGGGTTGTTGACCTGTGTCGACAATGCCGCTGACGTGTGTGTCCTCCCTTCCCCTCAGGAGTGGGACGAGGAGTTGGCGAAGGTGGCGCAGCGGCACGCCGAGCAGTGCGTCTTCAAGCACGACTGCCGCGACTGCAAGCGAGTCGGTGAGTGTGGCACATCCGCCCGAACCGCCCCGCCACGCGGATGTGGCCGGTCGGTCGGCTCATTCAGAGCCGGTGGATCCGTCTGAGACGCCGGCCGGCCGGTCGGGATCATCAGGGATTCCGTCCGGCGGCACGCGGGCTATGTTTGGCCCTGGCCGCGGTCGTCGCTCGGCCGGCAGACGGTATGTGCGGCCGCGCGCGCTCCGATGCCGGGCGATAGGCGGCTGCACGGCCCTGGACGGACGCGCTCCATTTGTAGAGGACGGCCCAGTCTGCCCCGCGGGGTGGACGGGGCCGCCGCCGCTCCTCTGGGGCGCTCTCTCTGCTAAGCTGCTCGCCACAGGGCAGCTGATCGGACCGCTCTGATACCAGGGAGCGCCGGCTTTGTTTTGAGAATTTAGAGACGTTAAAAATGTCCAGCCCAAGCTCCCATAAAGATAAGCACGGCAAATATTCCATAAATACATTCGCCCAGACTAAGGAACGTCGCCAGTATGAGATCGCAGCTGTGTACGATGCGGTAGCTTGTTGTCAGGGCCGGGATTAACAGTCATTTCCGCATGGTTCACAGCGCGGTTCAAGGTGGGCCAGAACCTCTACAGTTCGTCGAGCACGCGTCTGGACAACTTTTCCGAGTGGCGGCGCGCCATCTACGCTTGGTACGACGAGGTGGCCCTCTTCAATCCGGAGCACATCGAACCCTTCGTGTGAGTACATAGACAACCAGCGTACCTTCGTCATACCAGCGCACATAGCATCACGTACCAACCGCGGAACATAATCCCCATGATACGCACTTTACAGGGTGTCTCAAAAGTTCGTTCACAGGTACCAGCCATGCTTTTTTGTCAATAATTCTGAATCAACAAGAAATTAACAGTCGAAATTTTGCATGGGCATTGGTGACAACCTTCCTCAAGCAGTCTCATTGTTTTCAAGTGCATTCGACCCTTCATGAACTCACAAAAAGGGTTCACCTCTGACCATGGGTCAGGCACGAAAATGTAGGTTGCAAAGTCGGGTATGTTGTGAAACTCTCTGTTTCAGGAGTAATGGGAATGGTTAAGTCGGAAATGACACATGGCTAAGTGTCGGCGAGGATGAGTGCAACATGATGATCATCTCATAAAAACGGTGGCTAAAATTTTTGAAGGACGAAACCATGCGAGACTAACGGCGTTTTGAACGACCCTCGCACGACAGCAGACTCGTGTTCCGGAAAGCAGCTGAAAATGCGGGCATAACTATTGAAAACTGGCAAGACGGTCACAGACAGAGGTTACCCATTTTCAAAAAGTGCAGGTAATCGTAAAATAAAGACAAATTATAATTTAAAATTGTTTATTATATCTATAACGCTAATTTTTGGGGACAATAACACAAAAATCGTCAATGCCAAGGACACCTGACCCTCCAAAAGTGTCAGTTATTGTAAAATTTTATCTAACAAAGTTTCAAGAGGCAGATCTGCAGCGAATAATTTTCTTTTAAACACAAAATCCCGATAAAACCACACGATGGACTGGTTTGGGCCGTTTACAAAGCAGAACATCTCCCGAGGAAAACACTCCGCAACCGAGCGAAGGTCTTGGCATGGGGAATGACGAGCGCTTGGAATTTGCAAAATTTGCACAATGTGTCTGAGAAACAGACGTCCGACACATTCTGCTACCATATGATGCGAAAAATTTACTCCTGGCACTTCCCGTTTGTTCAGGACTGGGGTCGTTTTGAAAAGGAAAATGGCGCTTGGGATGTCGGCGCCAGTCATTCATGAAGGAGTTAGCGCCAGAGAATGCCTACAAAATACTCAAGAATGGTGTCGATGCAAGCTGTCGGCTTTCAGGGAAAATCAGATGTTGCCGGGGAGCTAGTCAAAACTAAATCCGACGCAGAAACTGCAGGGGATTCCCCTGCAAGAGCTTGAAAGCTGGTAACCTTTTATCAGCCTCCGGCAGCTGACGGAGCAACAAAAATCGGTATGAGCAAATATTTTTGGAGATACAGCAAAGGGGTTGGTTTCCAACCTTCTTAATCAGTTGTCAAAGCATGCATATTTGTCTGGTGTACACACAGACACCAAAACCTTATACTTTTGGCCGGTTCTTATATGCTTTATTGGCATGGGAAATGTGTGAACGAACTTTTGAGACACCCTGTAGACAGACATTGACTAGAGGAATGTGAGACAAGTTTCTTCTTCCTTATACGTAGCCGACACCAGGTTTAAATAATATTATTTGTGATCAGTTTGCATTCAAGGCTTTGTGCTGCCTAGTTCGCTCGCTCTCTGGTTAAGTTTGTACCTACTACCCAGTCCTTTTACTGACGTAACGTGTTTCTGTCTGTTTAGGTTCTCCTCTCCACTGGGCCACTACACGCAGCTGGCGTGGGCCACCTCCAGCAGGATCGGCTGCGGCTACGCCCTGTACAAGGAGGGCCCCTGGTGGACCAAGTTGTACGTGTGCAACTACGGCTCGGCGGGCAACTTCCAGCGGGGACAGATGTACGAGCGGGGCACGCCGTGCAGCCAGTGCCCCAGCGGCACCTCCTGCTCCAGACAGTACCCGGCTCTCTGCAGTGAGTACCTGACCAGTCGGCAGCGGCTGGCTGCGCGAGGAAACAACGGTCATTAATTACTGATCGTCTCTTTGTTGTCGATTTATCCGAGAAAGTTTCTCTTGGTGCATGTTTGATGTTTAGTTTGATTTGAAGCACAGAAGCATCGGAAGTACCTACTGACGATCGTAAGGCAAACGCCAGCTTCAGTTCTTCGGTCCATTAGCTGCGAACGAACTGTAGTTGCCACTGGCCAGTCACCTGATGCGAGCGTTCTTTACCGCCGTGTCCATCACCGTAAGGTCGTCGCTCCATTCTGACTCCCTCCCTCCGCACGGCAGGTGACGGCAGCGGCGGGTCGCCGATCGTCTCCACCAAGCAGCCGGCGCTCCCGGCCACACCGGCCGTCGACCTGTCTTCTCTGCCCAACGCCGACGGTCGCAGCCTCTTCAGCTGCGACCTGGACCACGAGGGGTGCCGGGTCAAATTCATCGGCACCACCTGGAAGGTCATCAACACAGACTCGGCACAAGGTGCGTACGGGTCGCGAGGCGAGGTGAAGATAATAAGGGCTTGCTCAATGATTCAATCTTTGAAACGTTGAAACGTTTGTTTTACATCCTTGGTCTGAATCTGCTGTGTAGCTGCGTTCACCGCTGCCGCCGCCGCTGACCGGTCGCTCCGTGTCGTCTCCCTCAGGTCGGATCCTGGGAACGGCCGTCACCTCGGGCCGCACCACCGAGTTGACGTTCCAGAGCCTGGTGCTGCCGCCGCGCGAGGGCTCGCTCTGCCTGCACTACTCGTTCCTCAAGTACGAGCTGCGCGGCAGCGCCGCCGTAGAGCTGGTGTTCACACTCGAGCCGATGGTGAAGTCCGGCCACCGGCCCATCGAGCACGTGGAGCGGTCGCACGCGCGCGGCGCCATGACGCGGCGCTCTGTGCAGCTGGACCACGTCACTGAGCCGTTCCGACTGCGGGTGTCGGCCTCGGTGCCGGCCTGGGCGTTCGGCCAGGCCACGGTCGTGGCCGTGGACGACGTGCGCCTGGTGGCCGGTCCGTGCTGATCGCCGCACCACCGCGCCGCTCATCGACAAAAGACACACCGTCCCCGGGCCGCCGCCGCGACCGGCCTCCTCAGGAAACCGCGCCTTGTTGGGTTTGATGTTGACGCGCCTTGTTATGCTGCCGAGTGGTTTTACGTGTAGTTACGGCAATGTGTACAGAGCTGCTCGTATTTGACGTCATTTACCCCCTCTCATGTTGGTCGTTGTACATATTTTTACCATGTCCATTAAAATGTACATAGGCAGGGTATAAAAGGGCCCGAAATACGGATTAATGGGTACATAAGGTTTTCTGCATCGAGGGCAGCGAATTTCTTCCAAGCAACACAACACAGTGTGTGTTATCTGCTCAGCTTGCCAAGCGATCCGCTGTCCCAAATATGTAAATAACTGCAGATCTCAGGTCCAAGGCGCTGGCGCTGGCCCTAATATCGAACTGTGTGCCGAAATCAGCTCCGGCCGCATCTTGCTGGTATTGTAAGCGGTCTCTCCTGTTTTGAAACAGAATGTTTATGAACTAGAGACCGAATGCGACGTCAACTCGATGCCGTGCCTCCTGGTACACACGCGTTCGCGATCCCTGATTTTCGGGGCCATTCTGCGTCTCTGTTGGATGCTGCACCTACCGGCAATTCGTCGCTTCCCTGAGCCCATTATCAACTGTATTGTTGGCCCAGTGCATATGTATTCACTATTTAACCGGTTTGCTGTTCGATGTGAGGATGTGCGGGTGTTCAGTTTTTGATGAACCACCCCGGCCGTCTGGTGTCGCCGTGTGCCGAGCCCTTCCCAGGTGCCCCTGTCCGGAGACCCGTCCCTGTTTCCGTCCCGTCTCCACGGTGTTTTGGAGGGAGAGAGCCCCAGCCGAGTGTCGGCCGCTCAGTGCAGGCGCAGGCCGCCTGCCGCGTCTCTGGGGCAGGACCCCCAGCGACGTCATGTTATTGCAATACAATCGTATCGATATACGCAGTGTCTGAATCGACCAGTGTCGGCGGAAAGTGCGACGGATTGGCGCGTCAAGGATCGCTGACACAAGTGCAGAAGGACACAAACTGATACACTGATCACCCGCTTCCCAGGATTAGTAACCCCTGCCCACTGCACTGTCCAGGCGAGACAATGCAAATTCACTATCAGACAGCTTTCTCAGTACAGATTCTTCCACAAAGAAAGTGTATGGTGCGACAATGTATATTCTTAGTCAAATGACTTCCCATACGGTAAAATCCGACACAAAGCAATAACGTAGTACACATTGAACCAATTGCAAATTGACTACATAATATAACACACAAGTCCCAAAAAGGTACCCAAGAGCCAAAGGAAAGCTCTAGAAGATACCACATATTAGAAACAGGCAAACGTCTACAAATAACTACGGACTCTTTAAAACACACCGACTCAACGGGACCACTTTGAGTTGCCTCTGTTCAACAACACTGACCGCCCCACAGCCTTCGAGGCCTAACGCTGCCCTCTATGCGGACCTCCAGACCTCCCTGGCAAGGAAATGGGAGCAGCCGAGGGCCACCACGGCTCACCCAAACGAGCGGGATAGCTGCTCTACCGGCAGGGTCGCCACACCGCGGGACAGTGCCCAACGGAGGCGTCTTACCCACAGGGCAGGCAGACGGCACATCTCACGACAGGGCACCATACCGACATACCGGCAGGGCAGACCCGCCATACCGGCAGAGGTGTCATACCACGGAGGGTAGCACACCCACAGCTCAGACCGGCAGCACACCCGCACTACCCGTAAAGACGCCCCACAGCTGAGTATACCTGACAAACAGGAGTAGGTGCGACTCCCGGTCCTTAGCACCGCCGTCCTTCCAGGGGAGGGGCGAAGTTACTGTTCGTAGCGACATTCGTGCGGACGTCAGTCAGGCATATCAGTCATGGAGAGGTTTAAACTGGATGGGAAGGACACAAATCGGCAAGGAAATGGCAGTTCTGGCGGTGGCTTGGTTTGGTGGAAAGGCCCATGTCCGGTGGGAAGGTAAGGTTGTGTAGTGATTCCGATCTGGTGCTGTCCGCCTGTCCGGTGGTGTTCTGTCGGATGAAGACATCTGAACCACCCTGACCGTCCCGTCCGCTATATGTTTCGGTCCTGTGTGGCGGTGTACTGTCCTTATTTTCTTCTGTCGGCTATAAAGGGTCGGGTCTGGCGGTCTGCCCTGTCCTGTCGATGTCGGCTATGGAGGATCCTGTACTGTCCTGTTGTGACAGCTGGAGAGGGTGCGGTCTAGCGGCCTATCCTGTCCCGTCTTGTCGAGTATCGGCTATCGAGGGTCGGTCCGGTGGTCTGTCCTGTCCTGTCCTGTCGGCTGTGGAGGGTCCGGAAGTGTCTTGTCCTGTTGGCTATGGAGGGTTCGGTCCGGCGGCGTCTGGACGGCTGCGCCTCCCCACTCGCGGCGCCTGTTCACAGCTCAGCCGTGGATGGCCTGCAGCCCGCTAATGAGCCGGCCCGTACTGTACGCACTGGCCAGTGGCACGTGCAGCAGCTCGCAGATCTCCAGAAAGCGCGGCTCTGGAACACAGAGCACGGCGTTAGTGTAGCTACCCGAGCAGGCACATAGAAACTGGCGTGTCGTTCAACCACCGTTACTGTGTGTGATGAGGCAGAGTTAATAACCGGCAGTCGGTGTGATAAGCACGTATTTAAGTACCATTACTCGGAGTAATGAAACCGAGTTTGAATTATCATTACTCGTAATGCCGTGTACAGTGTGTTACCAACCGTTGTTGGGTGTGATGAAGCCGTGCCGTATGAGGAAGTCGAGGGTGACCGGCGCGCTGGTCGTCTTGAACTCGGGGCTACAGACGAGCTCCATTAGCTCCTGGGGGCGGTCAGGTCGGGTCAGGAGGCGCGCAGGGGCACACTGTCTGACCAGCTCCACTGTGTATCTGACTGTTCACAGCGCCGCCATTGATAGAGGCGCAGCGTCGGCCAGTCCCGGTAGCGCCCCCTACCTCACTGACGGACTCAGAGGAAGGTAGAGTTCCGTTCCCTGGGCAGTAAAAAGGCAGGCCAGCTACTGGTAAAGCTGCCGTTACAGAGCAGAACCGAGGTGGGAGGCGCTCCCCGGCTGACTTCTACTGACCCGGCTGTGGTATGGTTCACAATAGTAACAATTTTACCGAGGTGTCAAATAGAGTATCAAAAGTATGCCAACTAGAACTGTAGAGTACTAACATGTGGGGCGATTTTGAAGGTTCAGAATATCTTAACTCAAAATGGGCTCGATTAATTTAATGATCATCAACTTTTCCATACAAATCAAATGAGCATTCTTAAATGAGTTTATCTGATAAAAACATACAAAACTTAGATTGATCTTGCCAGCCCAATGAAACAATAGGTACTGAATGCCAAATGAAAAGGTATCGGATAGATAGAGGACCAGTGTTTTACAGTAGTGTTCCGTTCCCCTATTTTGACGTTTCGGATACGCATATTAAGATTAATATTGACGGATTGATATTTCCAAACAAAGCATAGATATTTCACATACAAGTTCCTCCCAATGCTTAAACTAAAAATGATTCGTAGTTAATATCGATAGGAAAACGAAACAAAGCCACAATTTTCGAAAAGAAAGAAAATGGTTCAAAACCTTAGGTGTAACCAGCATAAACTCCTCCGCCTCCCCGTCTTGATTTCTCGGCTGGAAATCGGGTGCAAGCTGGATATCGAAGCAGAAGGCATGGTTGGCGAATGTGGCGCTCCCTTTACCGTAGACGAACCTGCCGGCGCACACGGGGCCGTCCGTCCCCGGCGTGATAAGCCGCACCGGCTGACCGGTCACCGGTCACCGCCCACCACACTGACCAATCACCAGTAAACCTACACACGGGGCCGTCCGTCCCCGGCGTGATAGGCACCAACGGCTGGCAGGATACCACTAGCACTACCACCAGTCACTGGGCGCCGCGGCGACATGAACCGTGCCGGTGGCACCCACAACCCGTCAATTTTAGTATCAGGGCGCACAGGGCAGCGGGCTGCACCCAACTAGGAGTATATAGGCACTAAGAAAGGACCGTCTCCGGTAGGAGGTTAGTGAGCCACACTCAGGGCAGCTTACGCCTACACTCGCACGGCGGCCCGTCACCGCAAAGGCTTATCGACGTGACCAGATATTGTGGACCAGGAAAGACAGGCGCAGGAAGAATCAGCTACCATCGCGACGCATGGATGACCGAGTACATGGATGAAGCAGTGCTTGAAATCGATGTTAGAAATAAATACGCATTCAAAATATCGTGAATTCCATCAAAACACAAGCATAGGGAAGTCAGAGTTCAAATGCCACCCAAAGCCCACAAATCTTCAGTCGATTTGCTATTTCAACTATTTTATACCTCTGGAAAATGCAAAAATGGGCAAAAATGGACTTACGCTGGAACCTATTATCTTAAGAGCCACTATTTGGGATATTTGTTATCAAAACAAAACCTTTTTTAGATTAGTTCTCGAAGAGCTTTTGATTCGTTTCGTGTTCAAAACTGTGCAGGTCTACTCGAATTAGAATGATCCACCGCTTAGTTATTTACTGTTTTAATTCAGACCAGCTTGCATGCATCATGTCTGCACGCGTCTCTGCCAGTGTTGTTAGTGTGATGTCTTCCGGTAGCAGCGTACTATGTTTCAATGTCGACTGTTAATACGAGATCTACGGGTGCGCGTTTGGTATGTCGGTGTCGGTAAGAGGTCCCGGGTCTGCTTGAGGCGGAGCCCACTGACTTGGACGATCAAACATGTCCTGCCAACTGACCTCCAGGTCAGTTGGGAGGTCATGTCAGTCCTGCCCCAGGGGGCAGGCGGACGTACTCGGTCGCTGTCTGAACTGGAAGGGGGAGGGGGCGGGACCACCCGGCCTTACTGAACTGGACGGGCATCAAAAGATACTCGGCCCCGACTGACCTGGGGGGCGGGGCCACCTGACTGACTGACCTGTGGCGGGGTCACCCACCTCACTGACCTGGACGGGCAGGAGGCGGTACTGGGGCACTGACCTACCCCCCCCCCCCCAGACTGATCTGGGGCGGGCGGGTCACCCCACCCACTGACCTGGACAAGTAGCAGGCGGTACTGGGCCACTGATTGACCTGGGGGCCAGGCAGGGTCACCGGTCGGTGACCTGGGGAGGGGTCACCCACCCCTGACTGACCTGGACGGGCATCAGGCGGTACTGGGCCCTGACTGACCTGGGGAGGGGTCACTGGACCCCGACTGACCTGGGGAGGGGGTCACTGGACCCCGACTGACCTGGGGAGGGGTCACCCACCCACTGACTGACCTGGACGGGCATCAGGCGGTACTCATCCACCTCGCCGTCCTGCGGTTGCGGTGTGAAGTCGGCCGGCAGCTCGAGGTCGTACACAAACTCCGTGTTGGCGAACAGGCCCCGCTCGCTCCGGTAGCAGATTCTGGCGCACAGCGGCCACACAGGCGCGTCGGTGTTGGTCCGACCGCCCGGCCGCCGTGCGGGGCAGGGGGACATACGGGTGGAGGTCGCAGAGCCACAGGACAGGGTGGAGGGACAAAGAGGGAGAGAAGGAAACACGGGCAGCAGCGGGTCCAATAAAGCCGGACACATGGATCGACGGACACTGAGAAAATACCGCGCCCATAAAGAAGAAGACAGACTACAGAGCACCCAAAACACGGCTGACTACAGAGCACCCGAAACACCGACAGAGAAGACGAAGAGAGGATTTTAAAGTAGAGTGAAGTTAAGCGTACCCACATAATGACAGAAACGGAGACAAACATACAAATAGTACACGCTATTGTAATGATGAGACAAAAAAAAAACGTACCAAGTCAATGTAGTACCGTTCAGCGCACGGAACACACCTTAATTCGTGACTACGATAGAACCCGCCCAATCAGTTGCAATAAAGAAATCATGTAGACACTTTTGTCGACCCCTCGACCGGCCCCATGCTATCGTGGACGAGACGGGAAGGACCAGCCCCAGTACCAGGCTGCAATGTCAGAGTAAAAGGCCGCGTTTTTTGCTGAATCATATATTAAACTTAAGTTAACCTAGACTTATGGATCAAATGTTTCACATCTTAATGGTGGGTTGAGTTGAGATAAACTACAACGTTATCAGCAAAAAGTTGATAACAGTGCCAAGGCCACGCGTTCTTATTCTCAGAACAAGGAACCGTTTTGCGTTACGATAACAAGCTTTCGGCGGCGTGTGACCGGCCAGGACCGGACTGAACCGGTATCAGTACCGTTTCCTGGGCCCGATTACACGCCGGCGGCTGAGGACCGGAGCGGTCGGCCCGGGGCGGCGGCCGGCCGGGGCGGTACCCACGAGACGGCCAGGGGGGGGGGGGGGCGGGGGCCGACGGGCGGAGGCCGGCCGGGGCGGTACCCAAGACACGGCCACAGAGCGGGGGCGGCGTGAGGAGGCTGGACGCAGGGGCGGGGGTAGCGGCGGCGGGCGGTACTCACGAGACGGCGCCGGCCGACCGGATACCGGGCAGCAGGTGCTCGGGGATGCCGGCCTCCTCCCAGGCCTCCTTCTGCACGGCCTCCAGTAGGCCGAGCCCGGACGTCAGGCCGCCTGAGACCTGTTCAAAGAGAACGAAATTAGGTCTCGATCTGTGCTGTGGTAACGCCAAGGGGAAAAAGGCGGCAAGTAGTCAAGGGTCATGGGAAGGAAGAAAACATACCGACATGCACTCAAAACTACGTGAAAGACCATGATGACTTAAACAACAACAAACAAACAAAAAAAAAAAAAAACAGGGAAACCCAGTGGGTGCCTCTATTTGGCAAACATGAAGTCCAATAAAATATTACTCGATTCAGCTTGGACGTCGAAAAACGAGCTAAAAAAACTGGAGATAAACGTAAAACACATGACCAAGACTCCGGGCCGCCGTCGAACTCCGGGAAGTTACTCGCCATGTTGTCCAGTTTGCCGGGCCAGGTGGGCTTCTCCAGCGAGCGGCGCTGGATCCAGACGCAGAAGCCCCGCTCCGGGTGGTGGGTGTAGCCGTTCAGGTCGACCCCGTACTGCCGGATCCCAAACACACCTGCGGCGGCGGGGCACACGCGTGTGATCCAGCGAACTTAACCCACCGAGCGAGAGTACCAAACTGCTACCACGGAAACTAGACGCTGTTCGGTCGCCGTTTTTATCAGCAGGCTGCCAGCTTGCTGGCGTTTTTCGGTTTCCCATTGGTCGATGTCACGCGGTGTATGTGTTTCACGGATGCGAGATCAAGAAACGCTAGTAATTAACTTCCAAATTATATGGGAGAACCAGCAGCATGGTGATACAAAACCGAAACCGAGCAGCGCTCTGGACAATCCAACGAGCAGTTGACATGGACTGAATGAGAATCACACTCACATGTAGCCGACCGTTCCATCTTTAGTAGGGGAGCGCTGGAGAAGGACGCCCGCACATCATAACACTGCGAACAGCGGATAATGATGGGGTGTCACGATTGGAACACGCCGAGCATAGTACAATGCGAACAACGGACAACGGCATATCACAATCACAACACGTAAGCATATGAATCAACGCATTAACAGCGGACGACTGAGTGCTACAATCGTACCACACAGGTACATGATAACACTGCGATCCGATTCATACCAAATATTACGACATAAAAGGGACATAAGTGGGAAGGGGACAGACTAGCTTTATCAGCCCGTGTGCGGATGTGGTCGTACCTCGTTCCTCCAGCCGCGCAGGGCCACCAGGTTTTCCTGCGTCCTCCAGCGCTGCAGAAGCTCGGCCATGGCCGCCGAGCGCGCCTCGGGCGTCTCCAGCGCAGGGTCCAGCGTCACGGCGCCCTCAGTCACGTGGAACATGGAGGCGGCCCGCACCAGCGGCAACAGCTCGGCACGCACCAGGCCCACTGTGTGGCCGGCCACTACCAGCGGCAGCGCGCCGGACAGCAGGCCGTTCTCTGCACCAGAGCACAGTGTCAGAGCAAGGGGGAAGGGAAAAATCTGCAGTGAATAGTCAACTCTTGACACGTGGCTTGGAAACAATACGGCAATTTAGTATTATTGAGCTGAAAATAGCACTATTCAGGAGCATTAAGTACGGTAAAACTTGAGGCATCATGCATGTTCCTACCAACAGCCCAGGGCTTAGCTAAAGCATTGTTTGCTGCCCAACACATCTTTCTTGTGATTCATATCAAACAAAAATAAATAAATTTATTTAGCAAGAATTGTATATTACAATACTTAGCAATATATTATAAAATATTAGTTAATTGATAAGCACGCATCAGATACTGACCTTCAAAAAGAACAGCATTGAACTTCCGAGCCAGAGCAATAAATCTGCTCTTTTCCATTTTCACTGAAGGCTCCCTTGGTGGGTAGATTATTAACCAGACTAATTTGGTTGTGTCCTCTAGATGGCCTAGTGTTTTGGCAATGGATGATCAGCGCCTAGCCCTAGAGTTACCTAGAAGAAACAGTCCAAATATTCACACTTTTCAGGCAAGTCAAACACTGCTAGTCACTTCCAACTTGAACTCAGTTGAATAATGAATTTGACGTCTGCTCGCCAGGATGCTTTCTCACAAAGTGTTTCAGCCCTGTATCAGTATCACTACTTATCGGGCACGGCTGGGCACGGCAACTCTCACAACACAAACTGAAACGGATCCAAAACTGCAACACTCCGGGCCTTGCTCCGGGCCAAAAGCTCTGGGCTGAGTTTGGCAGGCCTCCGTAAGATACTGCAGTGACATCTATTGATAAACTACACAACTAAGGGCAAAGTCCGATCGAATTGTTGAAAATTGATAAAAAGAGTGAAATTCGATGAGAAGAACAATATCGGGGAAAAATTAAAACCAACTGTGACTTCAATTTGGCATCATAGGCATGAGAAAATCAGCGTATTTTACCAGACTGGAACGAAAATCCACCAGGGGCCTGACAATCAACCTCTATACGCCGAGGGCACCGGTGGACCGGAATGCGCCGGTTCTGAGCTGGTTCGGGGCGGAGGAGAGGGGAGGTCCAAGGGAGGTCACTGTGGGAGAGTGGAGCGCTGCGCCATCTGGGTAACATTCGGTACCGCCATCTGTGGAGACTGGACTCGGAGAGCATTGACATCTGCGGTGTCTGCTTGTGCTCAACACATGTTCATATCAATCTCAGACGGAGCTGCAGAGTGCAGCATATTCCACCCCGTCCACTTTCCGTCAGTGACGTAGGTACCACCCAAAACGATAGGATAGGGCACTGGTATTTCACACCGGGATCTGAGGCCTATTTCATTCAAGGCCGTACATTTTTTCAAAACTTGTATCCACAAGTGTTTGAGATAGTATAATTCGTGAATATTTTTGCAAACGTAAAAATAATTCAACGAAACTTAACTCAAGGCACCAACCAATATGTGGCCCCGCCTTACCACCAACCACCAATACCAATACGTGCCGTGTCAGCTCCACCAAAAGCTCCACCGCCTCCACCTTCGATAAAAAATACACGGTGACAAAAAATATAGATGACCTTGAAAAATGTTGGTAAACAAACTAGGTTAGTAATCAAGAACAATGGTATATTACGATGCTGCATTTTATCTAAATTTGTCAAATTGCAACTATGAACAAACAAAATAATTTTGATAACCGTATATACACAAAAAATACCTCGCAACGTTTTGTATTTGGAAAAATTGTTAATACACACTGTGGGAAAATTAGAAACCAAAACAATAAACATCAGAAGTATTTAATGCATTTATGGCGCGCGAATGACAAAACATGACGATTGATTTTCTGCCAAGCAGCCACAGGGGAGCACTGCCGCTTCAATCCTATTGGCCGTGGTGTCTAACGGTGGCGGCCATATTGCGCAGACCAAGAACCGGCCGCCGCCTGTGTTGAGGAATAGGGAATTCGGGACCTCGATTTACGTTTGCGGCCGCCGCATCCGTTACGTTCAAGTTACGTAGATACGGAACCCGGCATCTTACGCAGAATTGAGTGGGGAACACGATCGTATCTTCAGAATTCCTTAAATTCACTCGCCGGACCTATATTTGCCCCGGCCGAGGGGGTTGATTGAACCCACCTCGCTAATGCGCCGCTAAGTTAACTAGAATTAAGCGGTAAAGTGGTCGTATGCGGCAAAGTATAATGCAGAGTGACTGGTAGGAACCCGCTGTAAAGGTCTCAGGTCAACCGGTGACCTCTGAGGTCAGGTCAAGTGATCTAAGGCAAGGGTTCGGTTTTTGGTAAATAACTTCGCCAAAAATGGCCGTAGAGCCGCGATTTTGGCATCATCGTGTTCAGCTAGCTCAGGCACATCGAATGATATACTTTTTGTTCGGGTCAGGTCAACTTAGGGTGTTGACCTCAGGTCAAGGTCAGGTCAGCACCCCCAGGTCACGAAGCTGGTCGAAAGAGGTCATGTCGCATATCATTCGATTCGGCAGGTCTTCCTGAGTCCATTGGTGGCTTTCCCGACTCGCTAGCTCAATTTGATCGGGAGTTATTGAAGAAAAATTGTGACCCTTGTGACGTCACAAATGACGTCACGCAAGGGCAACAATGTAAATATGAAGCATAGAACCTTGCAAGGAGTGCATGAAATCATGATTCTATATGCTTGAGATAGTTTCAGATCATTCTCGGCGCCAAAATAGCAATTTTCATATTTCCCCATTGACTTATAAGGGTTTAACGTATTAGTTCCTTAGGGTAACTGTGGGGAAAACGCACCCCTGGGTTAAACGCCTCCCCTAAAAAAATCGTAGATCTTATCGGCGGATAGGTGTTTTATCCTGTCTTTCAGAACAGTCAGCTGCTTGTTTACGTAGTTCTCTATTTCCGGTTCTGCGTCTTGGGGAGCAGCGTGGGTAGGTGCTGATGTTGGTTTTGGGTGTTGTTTTTGTTGTTTTTACAGAAGATTCCTAAGCTTTTAATGCCCTCTTTATTTCACAAAACTTGCTATTGTGCACATCACTCAAAACTGCGTTTTATTGTCATTCTGTTGAATTTATTATGCTGTGGCGTTAGTGGCGCGTTTTTTGTCAATATTTTGTTGACCGGAAATGGAGTGGATGGGGAAAGACGCCTACTCGATGCATGGGGCAAGACGCCCCCAGTTTTCTGAAAGGGGGGCGTTTTGCACGGTGGTGAGAGTGCAGGGTAGCGCCCTGTAGGTCGGGGTCGAAAAGGCCTCTCCCTGTCCTTTTTTGCTGATACATCCTAAACGACTGCAGATATCGTCACCAAACTTTCAGGACTCCTCCGGGCATCCATTTTACACATTGCAACAACATTTTATTCCAAAGGCTATGATAGGTTGACCACAAATGACGTCAGAATGACGTCAAGTTCTGCCATGTTCATCATTTTCTCTGTTGATGGATGGCGTGGGGGCGCTTTGCACATGGGTGTGGGCGTATTACCCAGGGTGTGGGGCAAAACGCCCTTTTGTAAGGGTATGCGGAAACCTTTTTTGGGGGTTAAATACCACACGCAAGTGTCTTTTCTTGGTCTCAAAGCGTAGTAAAAAGAATGAGCTACATGATGGTGCCCAAAGGTTTGAGTAATCTGGGTTGGGTTGAGTGTCAGAAGGTTTCGCGCTTACTGGGGGCGTTTTTGACCTATTCACCCTATATCTGAGGATTTTTTAGGATTTCATCTTGTTCTCCACTCAATTCTGCGTAAGATGCTGGGTTCCGTGTCCACATAGCTTGAACGTAACGGATGCAGCGACAGTGGCGGCGGAAGCAGGGGGGCAAGGGGGGCAGATGCACCCTAAAGCTATGGAAAGGGGCGCCTCGAAAATCTGTAGAGGAGGCAGGAAGTTAAGAGGTGCGGCAGCCATAAGGTTGAGCAGTGCGACACCGCAACTGATAAAGGCACTTGTGACACGAAGAGGGTAGCAATGACGTGGGAAAAGTATCTTTTGATATGCTGAAGAGTGGAGGGCATCCTTATCTGAAACAAAGGCAGATGCTGCCGACCCTGTCGAATATAATCTTGCCAGGCGATAAAGGCTAGGAGGGCGCAGCCACTCGAGAAGCGCGCCATGCGGAAGAGGGGCCGCCTGTGTGTGGGACGAAAAAGAAACATTTATGGAGACGTCTTTGAAGGCGATAGCCTCTGAACGCCAACACGAACATATGAGGGCTTATAGCGTTGCAGGCTCCATGCGACAAGCGCCTGATGGCCGATATATGCGAGAGGAAATTAGTTTGTGTAACATTTATCGGGGGCGGTTTGCCGTTTACAACATAGGGTAACTGTGGGGAAAACACACCTCAGGGTTAAACGCCTCCCCTAAAAAATCGTATTTCTTATCGACGGATAGGTGTTTTATCCTGTCTTTCAGAACAGTTCAGAACAAAAGTGGAATGTAGGTACCTAACTATTTCTCGTTACATAAAAACTGTAATTCTGAACGTGTTAACAGGTACAACACATTGTCAAACGTCTCTTCACTGTTTGTGTTACTACAACCGTGTATATGGTAAGGGGCGCCCAGCGGGAAGGGGCGCTTCAATATCGTTTGCACCCCTATCCTAGAATACCTTCCGCCGCCACTGTGCAGCGACCGCAAACGTAAATCGAGGTCCCGAATTCCCTATTCCCCAACACAGGCGGCGGCCGCTTTCTGGTCTGCGCAACATGGCGGCACCGTTGGACACCATCTGGCGGCCGATGCGCATTCCACATTATAGAGTTCAGTGCAAGCAGCACAAAAACGAGAATAAATTGCGTGTCAGAGTCACTCAGCATAGGTAGCGTAATTTATCGATATTGATGTAATTGACTGTATTGCATTATTGCACAAAAAGTTACCATATTTTGGAAACCAGGACCACTGAAGTTCTGAAATTTTCTATATACCGTGGACCACTGGAATTATAGGTTTGTACTTCGGAGTTGTCTGCCTTCTGGTCTCTGTGAAAAAGAATGTTTGCAGTTTCAACATTTCTTAGCAAACTTTCTCTTCATCATCAATATCAATATCATCATTCAAATCAAATTTCAATTATTCATCATCAAATAAATCAATAACCTTAAGATTGGGTTTGTTTTTTTTAGGATTCGGTGTCGGGATTCCGTGGCGATCGGACGTGCGCATCGAGCTCCTCCCTGCCTCCCAGCCCACCAGCTGATAGGCTCCAGGCTCCGACGTGATTGGTTAAGGCCAAATTCCTTTCCTTTCTCCAACATTCTTTTGGGAGAATCGTGCAAGTTTACCATAAAATCTCTCGCCTCGACGTCTGAAGATTAACTCCGACAAGAAAATCGAGTGAAAATTTCGAAACATGCCCCTGGATCGGTCGCCTCCGCTTTCCCGCCGAAACCAAAGGACACGCCAGCTCAGGCTACACTAGCGACGTTTTTTCGGTTTCTGCGGGATTTCGGTTTCCGCGTTTTTTCGGTTTCTGCGTTTTTTTCGGTTTCTGCGTTTTTTCGTTCCAATCGGAGCGGCCTCTGCGAATGCGTGCTATGCAGCAGCCGCATTTGTGTACGTCGTATTGTCTGATCTGTTGAAGTTGAGCCGCAGTAAATGGATCGTCAAACATTATTAAGAGTTTTATTTTTGCGCCGTGAACGCGAGAGACAGCGACGAAGCCTGTGGGTTCGCCCGGTGCTGTTGCGCCGAGAAGAGTGCGGCGAGTTCCACACGCTAGTACAGGAACTGCGCCAGAATGATCCTGAGGGCCATCGGCGCTACTTCAGGATGAGCGTCAATGAATTTGACGAGGTGCTCGGCAAGATCGAGCCCGTCATCACGAAGGAGATCACGCACCTGAGGAAGCCGATCTCGGCAGCAGAGCGCCTGGCGGCAACGCTGCGGTAAGACCTGAAGCCTCTTCATACTTTCAATGCGCGTATAATTCTCAATGAAACACATAAGCTTGCATAACCAGAAAAGGTGCCTCAATTTCCAATCGACTAATTACGAATATGACATAGGCGCAATGACGTAACAAAGGACTGACATTTTTTAATTACTACATATGTGTACACCTTTTGCAGTTACCTGGCGTCAGGTGGGACTATGAAGTCTGTGGCAGAATCTTACCGCATAGGCTTCGCCACGATCCGCCTGATCGTCCCTGAGACATGCCGCGCCATCTGGGAGGAGCTCGGACCAGGGCTGATGGGGCTACCGTCGCCCGAGCAGTGGCGCCAGCACGCCCTGGATTACGAGGAGGAGTGGCAGTTTCCCAACTGCTGTGGGGCGGTTGATGGAAAGCATATCATGGTCGACAAGCCTGCCAACAGTGGCTCAATGAACTTTAACTATAAAGGGTTCTTCAGCATCGTGCTGATGGCTGTGGTGGACGCGAAGTGTCGCTTTCGCTACATCAGCGTGGGCAGCCACGGTCAGGAGAGTGACGGGGGAGTGTGGGGAGGAAGCGACCTGGGTCGGCTGCTGGAGGACCAAGACAACGGCGGGCCGCCTGTTCTGCCAGGCCCAGAGCCGCTCCCTGGCTCCGCAGTGACCGTGCCTCACGTGTTCGTGGCAGATGAGGCTTTTCCGCTGCGGCAACATATGATGAGGCCATTTCCTGGGTCGCGCCTGACGAACGACCAACGACGTGTCTTTAACTACAGACTCAGCCGCGCCCGTCGGACCTCCGAGAACGCGTTCGGGATCCTCGCACAACGGTGGCGGGTGTTCCGGGGTCCGATCGGGTGTGACGTGGAGGCCGTTAAACTCATCGTCCTGGCAACCTGCGTCCTGCATAACTTCCTGAGAGAGAAGGACATCGAGACCAGACGTGGAGGGCCAGCGGCCTACGGCTACGTCACGCCTGAAGAGCGACGAGACATCCCCGGTCTCCGTGACCTACGTGACGCAGGCGCGTCTCACAATCACCCTCAGCAGGCGGCCCAAGTACGAGAGAAGTACGTCGAGTACTTCAGCGGCGTCGGCAGTGTCCCCTGGCAGCTGAACAGCATTCGCCGCTAGTGAAGAACTGTGGGTGTATCATGTGTGCGTGTACGCCGTGTGTGTGTAACCACTGCCGCTGTGACTCCCATGGCGAGAGCGCATAAGAAGCGGTATGATGTTGGATGTGCCGTTCTTGTAAAAGTGATGATTTGAATTTTGAACTATTCAGTGCCTGGTCGAAACGGATTGACTGTTTCACGCCGTTTACTTGACGATTCAAGCATCGATTCAATGTGTCGTGAAGTTTGAAATATAAGCTGACGATGGTTACGATTGAATGTGTATATCGTAAAGATGATGTCACTGTTACCGGCAATTGCTCTCAAAAACAATCAACAAGCACGGCAAAGCCATGTATTGAATGAATGTCAGCAACAAACTACTGTTGGCTGTTGCTAACCAAAACGAACAACTTATATCACAGGGACAGACGACTTAACGAAAGCTGTCTGTCCTTGTGGGCTGTGGCTATCAACGCAACGACAAAACAAACGTTGTCAACTCCAAATTGAACAATAACAGCCATAGGTAAATATCGCAGAAAAGGCAGTCTGTCCTTCATCCCTGCGGATATAAACGCCAGGACAATACATAACAAACGTCGTCAGCTACAAAATAAATATCCATAGAGATACATACGGCAAAACAGGTTGTCTGCACACGTAGGCATCAACGTCAAGGCACCAGTTAGTTAAACAAAAAAAAAAAATCAACCACAGCCACACATACAAACACGTCGCAGTCTCAGTGACTTATGGGTGTCCTTCAGTCCTCGTATTCATCAAGGATCTGCTGGAACGCACGTTTGATCAGTTTTTTGGTGGCCTCACTCCTGTGCTGCAGCTCAGCATACACATTCATACAGAATGTGTAGTCCCTGTCAGATTGTTGTCTCCTGCTCCTATCTAGCTCCTCCAAGATAGCATAGTCTATGTCTGTTGTTTTGCGCTTGCTTCGTGTGCCCGATGTGGTGCGCGGTGTACCTTGTGTATCCGATGTACCTTGTGTGTCCTGGCCACGCGGTGTGTGTGTGTCGTCAGCGGACGGTGTATCTTGTGTGCCAGGTGTGTGTTGTGTGCTCGGAGCGCGTGTTGTGTGTTGAGTCTGGTGGGCGCGCTGCGTGTTTTGTGTCGGTGCGTTTTGTGCGCCCAGAGCGTGCGTTGTGTCGTGCACGAGCCGTGTGCCTTGTGTGCCCGGTGTGTGTTGTGTGCCCAGAGCGCGCGTTGTGTGCTGAGTGTGGTGAGCGCGCGATGTGTTTTGTGCCGGTGCGTTTCGTGTGCTCAGAGCGCGCGGTGTGTTTTCAGTGTAGTCAGCGCGCGATGTGTTTTGTGTTGTATCATGTGAGTGCGGTGTGTCGTCTGTGTTCTCCTCAGTCACTTCAATTTCATATTGGGTATCTTCAAGATACAGGATGTGAGGGTGAGTGTTGGTCTCAGCCCCAGGATCACCTCCAGGATCATCTCCGCCTCCATGTGAATCCAGCCGGAAGGTCATGGATGAGGTTGTACTGAAAAGGAAAAAATATGGAAATAAGGAAAGGTTTGGGACGTTGAATGTGGAATGGAGAAAACCGCGCCGGACCGGCGGGGGTGGGGTTCTGAAAATCACCCAGTCTCGGCTCCTGGACCAACGTAGCGACAAACGGCGGGGCCATTTTTCAGATATCTGCGAAAAACCACTCGGGGGTGTCCACTGTCCACCCCCCCCCCCCCACCCCCACCCTCTCCCCAGTCTGGAGCGGGTTAAATCAATATGGGGCAATTCCTTAACTCTGATGATTAAGTTTGGATAGAAACACACTAACGTTTCGGCAGATAAGGGAAAGGAACTGATGTGAAATATGCATTGGGTACAAAATGAGAGAACATGGCTTCAGTACATATTTCAGGCAGGCGAGCTGATGAAGTCATGGAGGAAATCATGGTTGCATTTCAGAACAAGGAACATAAGTAATCGAGTGATAAGAAATATAAAATAAACACTATGGGAGGTCATGGTAACAAAAGGTACATCCAAGTTACTATGCATGGAACTATTACCTTGAATATTTCAGCAGGACAATGACAAACTGTCAATTCTGACCTGTGTGACAATATAGAATGATGGACAAAGTCAAAGGATGGCTGGATGGAGGACAAAGTAGGTATGGATATTGCACATCTGTTTAATACTCACGGCCCACGCTGGGTGCTGGGGTCCAGAAATCTGAGCATATTCCCATAGGGTCCTAGGTGCTGATGGCCACCTGCAGGTGCTGCTGATCCACTGGGCAGAGTCTTCCTTTTTCTGGCCAGATAGTAGTCCCGCAAAGACTTCCACCTCTCTTTGGCAGCTTGCACTGATGATGGAAGGAGAGTATTGTTACCATTTCATTTCATCCAACAGAACAAAATGTCACCAATAGAACTAAATTGGTGTGCACTGTGCAGAATATAAAAACGGCTTAATTTTGGCGCAAACAGGCATCAAACTGTCGGCTAAAACAACAGAGAAATTTCGGCGCAAAACCAACTGCGCAGAATTTCAGTTTTCAGCGGATGAGGGTCTAACAGGCGTCAGGCATAGTGCATTGATGCTTTCCAGTCTGGATCGATATCAATGTATAATATATTGCAAAATAAAACACACTGATTGTGCCAAACCAATCAATAAAGGCATCTCTATGTATCTTGATCTTCTAAATTCAATCTAAATACCCTTTCTTCTTCGTGACTATGATGTTTAGACCATTTAAGTTCAATAGTGTACTTGAAAAAGCCCATTTCAAGGCATGTAACCACCAATTATTGCAAGCTCAAGTGATATCAACTGAAAACCTCAGCTGCGTAGGTAGCCAGCAGTCAGCACTCACCATCACATCTGCACTCAGCTGCCACTCTTTGCCAATCAAGATCTTTTACAGTCTTTTTCTTTGCATAGTCCTTCGACTTTTTGTCCCACAAACCTGGGTACTTCCTGACTGCTTCAATTATTGATTCGTTGAAGTCCATTTCTGCAACAAAGAAATGCCAGTGATCTGGAGGTTGTCAAACATTCAGTACCTAATAACAACAATTATTTTAGTGATTTTCTCCTTCTGCACCATTTATTAACTTTAATTCTTAAAATGGAAAAAAACACATCCTTCCAAGGTTGACGAATAAGACCACACATTTATAATTGTTACTATTTACACAAAACATTTATATCTTAACACCCAGCCACATGTTGTCAGGCATAGGCGGCGGAACGGGGAGGGCACCATGCCCCCCTTTGATTCTGGCATTTTAACATTAGCCCTATGGGCATTGCATGGAAAGAATGGGACCAAAAGTCAGCAGTGCCCCCCCCCCCTTAATTGAAGGTGTTCCGCCGCTACTGTTGTCAGGCTAGGTTATGTTACGTTGGTAAAATTAGGTCAGGTTAGCTTAGGTTTTGTTATTTCTGCTCATGATGTAGCTAATTTTTTAGCTTTACATGATCATGTGAACAATGTTCTAGATTGATAGTTGGTTTGTGACAATATGGTGTTGTCTTCATTCAGTATGGAGCCCAAGGTGCAATTTCGGGAGACTTCACAAAGGGCGATTTCACATTCTTTTCATGTGCTTAGTTAATGCGTGCAAAAATAATACAAATCAAAGCTTGAGCTTCATATTTCTCCTTGAATTTTCCACACCATCAGTGCAACTGAAATGCTGGAGCCACCAAACTACCCAATTAATTTAATTATAACAATTCAATTCATGTGAAACACATTAGTAGGGTGAGGTTACAGATTGATTTTCATTTGATTATAACAACATTCAAATTACCTCCACTCATTTCTCCATCTTCATCTCTCATTGCACGTTCCATACTGATGCGTAGGTAGGTGAATATCCAGAACAACTTAACACAGAAAATACGACTATAATCTACACAAATCGGATGAAAACTGACACCTACTCAACCTTCTGTCACTTCAAAAAAGGCAGAAGTAAACAAAACAAAAGAATGCCGCTGTGCGCCATAAAATGTCGCGTGGAACGATATCCCGCAGAAATCGAAAAAAAGTTCACGGCTCTGAACTTTTTTTCGGTTCCGACTCGTCGGTTTTTGCGGGTTTTCGTTCCACGGGACGCCAGACTGGCAGTGTAGCTTGCGCAATGCTTTCGCTATGAGGCGAACTTTACGACGCGAACCGAAATCCCGCAGAAACCGAAAAAACGTCGAAATTCATGCTAGTGTAGCTTAGGCTAAGAGCTGGACTTTTTGATGACGTCTTCGGGTGACGTCATGTCCTGTGTGACGTTTCGTGAGCAGGTAAGGAAAAGTCACCACCGCTGGCGAACATTGGTGCGGTAAATGGCAAACACAAATGCTGCGCAGAAAAGACAAATGTGTATCTTAACAACATTCGTTCGGACGACAATAAGTTCTTCATGCGATTGTTAGTTATCTGTCGTGCTATTTTAGTATGATTGTTATTAGCAGTTGATTTGTGAAATGTATTATCAAAATCAATGTTTATTGAACGCAGATTCAGTTTATTTTCAGATGTACCTACCTTACACTTCACTCATCTCAAGCTGTTCAAACACCCTTGACAAAGTCGATTAAGATGAAACGTTGGGTATAATTTATACTGTGTTTTCTCTGCATTATTAACATATTCATCATATATACAATATAAGGGCCACATGCTTTTTACAGGGAGACATGTCAGACAGCCCAGTAGGATGAGGCTTCATCAAGCGTCATTTTTAGCAAAGCTTTTCTTGCTTAAAATCCAGTCTGCAAAACAAGGCAGGGCTTACACTTTGGCTTACACTTGACTCCCAGCTGTTGTGTCTTTGCTATGCGATGTTAAACATATAAAACATCTTACTATTCATGTATGCGCCATGACTCGTAATCTTTTCACAGCCAAGACGCTCCTAAGGTACATGGAATGTGGGGAGGGCAGCAGCATCAGTGCAGCACCGATGGTCGGATGCGACGGCTGCGATAAATGGTACCACTTCCATTGTGCGGGACTGACTAAGGAGCCAGGTAAGGGCAAATGTTTTCTGTCAGTATTTTTGTATATATATTTTTATTTTTATTCAGTATTTTTGTTGCAGCTATAGTGGTCAATGAAATATTTTCCACACTGTTCAACCAAACATGTATTTCAAACAATCTGCTTCCCAACCAAGGGCGTCGCAACAGGGGGGGGGGGACGGAGGGGATCTCGTCCCCTCCACTTTTTAAAATTTTAACATTACGCCTATGGCGTTGCATGGAAAGAATCGACTTAAAATGGTCCTCGTCCCCTCCAAAATGGTCAATGTCCCCTCCAGTCGTCGCACCGTGGCGTCGCCCCTGTTCCCAACGACACAAATTTAGTCAAACAATGTGCCAATATGGAATTTTCAGGTTCAGTTGAATGAAATAGGAGCAATGATAATTGTAGATTACGTATACCTGCAAGAGAGGAAAACAGAATACATTGTATTGCTTGTCCTTCACCGATGCTGTTATTTTTCCATTTCTAGAAACACCGACATGGCGATGCAGGTTGTACTGCCTGGTGAGGCCGCGGTCTCCGGAATCGCCTGCAGACGAAGTCACCTGGCGTCCATCTGCACATCACTTGCAGCAGTGAGGCCTGCTGACAGCGTCTGGCAGTGTCGGCAACGTGCCAGACAGCTATCTGGAGTCCTGCTCACCGGAGGTCGCCGACAGGAGGGGCGACGCATCGTCTCCGAGGTCGCCTCAGCAGCAGTGAGACCTCACTGGCCGTCTTCTTAGGCTTCAACTAGATTGCGAACAACCTATGCTGAGACAACGCCCATGACGTGTGATCCGGTACCGCTACCGCACTGCGTGCCTGTGCCCGCCGTGAGCCGCTAGTGCATGGGTTCGACCATGAGAATATGTGTTTATGTTGCTTTTACTATTGTTTGTACGTTGAAGTGACGAATTGTTTATTTTTCGCAAGCTTCCGCTGTCCTGTTGCCTGCAGCTCCATGCAACGCCAGCTGTACTGTTGTTTTAATGTTGTCTCTCCGCTCAGCTGTACTGTTGCCTCTCCGCTCATAACAACCTATGCTGAGACAACGCCCATGACGTGTGATCCGGTACCGCTACCGCACTGCGTGCCTGTGCCCGCCGTGAGCCGCTAGTGCATGGGTTCGACCATGAGAATATGTGTTTATGTTGCTTTTACTATTGTTTATACGTTGAAGTGACGAATTGTTTATTTTTCGCAAGCCTCCGCTGTCCGGTTGCCTGCAGCTCCATGCAACGCCAGCTGTACTGTTGTTTTAATGTTGTCTCTCCGCTCAGCTGTACTGTTGCCTCTCCGCTCATAACAACCTATGCTGAGACGACGCCCATGACGTGTGATCCGGTACCGCTACCGCACTGCGTGCTTGTGCCCGCCGTGAGCCGCTAGTGCATGGGTTCGACCATGAGAATATGTGTTTATGTTGCTTTTTATACTATTGTTTATACGTTGAAGTGACGAATTGTTTATTTTTCGCAAGCCTCCGCTGTCCGGTTGCCTGCAGCTCCATGCAACGCCAGCTGTACTGTTGTTTTAATGTTGTCTCTCCGCTCAGCTGTACTGTTGCCTCTCCGCTCATATATGACACCCTCTATATGAATGGCACTACTGATTGTCACACCCACTGTCCGTATTGTCCGTAGTGGTGTCTACGCCCATGTTAATACAGCGTGCAGAATCCAGATTCTATTGAGGAGAGTTGAGCCAAGTCACCATAGGCTCGGGAAGAGAGCAACGTGGAGGCCCACTGCCCCTTCCCCGGCCCCCACTGGGGGCGCCAGCCACTCCAACTTTTGACTGGATGTCAAGAGCGTCGCCACGAGGGGAACGAGTCGCCGGCCAGCCAAGGTAGCCAACGGCGTGTGAAGGTCGCCTGACCTCGAGGAAACTGAGATGGCACCAACGGAGGTTTTGTTAAGTAGGCGACCAAAATTCGAGCGGCAGCAACCTGGGCACCTTCACAGATAGCAGTGCCGCGTATCAGGGCGCCTTCGACGTTGAGCTGGGCGCCGATCATCAGGACGCCGGGGAAATATGACCCAATATCCCCCGTAAATATGTGCCTCGGAACTGGAAGGGAGACCCAACCATAAAACTGAAAGCTCGCCGTATTTTATCCACTATTTTTCGAGCAGGTCCATAGATTTCCGTCCTCAAAAGTGCGGGGATATTCACCAGTGTTTGAGTTGGATGGGACTATAGTGGCGTTTACACCGACAGGAGATTCCCATTGCCGGCTGTGGGAAACTACGGTCGGTGTAAACGCCATTCATATTTCCTGCGTCACCCCTGTGGGGACGCCCTTACTCCATGGTGCCGAGCTTATCAATTTGGATATCAATGGAATCAAAATCTCTTATCGATCGATGAAGAACTAAATTACCCCGACCCGGAGAGCGTCTTTGGAATCAAAGCAGTAGCACATGACGCAAGACTTCAGGCAAATAAATCCTTCTTGTCTGAAATAAAACATTTGTGTATTGATAAGCACGTTTTATAAGCAATGGTAGCAAGATTCTCCATGTATTTGGTCACAGTGATAATTTAGTAGTAGATACTCACCGTCGCATTTCGGTTTTTTAATTTAAAATTTATATTGTCAGAGCTAGCAACATGTCTTTTCACTCAACAATAATTACAAAAGTGAGAAAGAAATGATAAATTGCTTAAATTTTGGTGAAACTAAAAATTAATTCAGCACATATTTTGTTTTACAGCGTTGAAGTCCAGCTCCAAAGGACAGCTGACGATCGTAGCCGAGCAGGCTGTTTGGTACTTCTTCACTACTTCTTTAGAAGTACCCGTTAGTACCGATCATTTCTCACATAATAAGCTATTGGAACAAAAATATCCATGTTCTTCTAATTATTCTCATATCACACTTTAAATAAATACTTTTGAAATGCATTTGCTAATTAATTTCACAAAAACGGCTTGAAATTTTACAATGTCAAAATACTTGTTCCAATTTCCACCATGAAACCACCACTATATTACTTGCTTACAGAACCGTGCGCACAGTGCGCGCAGTTTTATCGTGACGTCAGAGGGTGCTTCCTCAGTGGCGCCCCCTGGCGGGGAACGCGTGCAAAAAGTCCAGCTCTTAGGCATGTCCAAACCAAACGGCGGCGCCAGCTGATCGCGGCGTCGGAAAACCAACGGCCAACGACAATGTCGGCGGCGATCGTGGGGACCGTGGCGATCGTGGCGGTCGCAAAGAAAACAGCGGGGGCATCGGCGAGGCTGACGACGTTGACGACGAGATAAGTGCCAGTGGAACTGGAATCTTCGACACAGGTATGGATAAGTCTTCTACCAAACAAAATCAGGTTGGTAAACTTGACCAAAGTGTGTACAGAGCGTTTGGGCAGGAATCCGTGGGCTCACTCTCCCGCTCCTCGAGCGATACAAGCAGCGCCGAGGCGATCTGCCCGGGGGGACCCGGTAAGGCATGTGGTAACCCAGTGAAAGATGGGGAACCCGGAATTTGTTGTGACAGATGCCATGGGTGGTTTCATCCGGGCTGCCAAGGGACACCCAAAGCAGCAGTTAGAGCACTGGATAGATTCCAGAGTCTCGCATGGCTGTGCGTGAAGTGCAAATCGGACCTCAAAAGCAAAAAAGGGAAGGATCCCTCGTCATCGGAATCCATAGATAAAAGGCTTCAACAACTAGAGCAGGCAGTGAAGAAAAATGCTGAGCTCTTGGCCGATTCAGTCAAGACCCAAAAGCAAATGGTTCAAGACCACGCATCCCTCATAGAGAAATCAGTGAAATCCCTTGAGACGCAGACTTCAAAACAATCACAGATGCTTGAACTAACTGCTCAGCAACACAAGGCATCATATGCTGAGGCAGTAAAGAGCACATGCTCGGAGGTCGCTCATGTCGTAAAAACCCAGCTTGCTCAGCTACCTAAACCAAACCAAAACGAACAGAGAACCACTACCTCTACCACTGCTGAGCTGTCTAGAGTTCTTGACAACCACCTGGACAAGGAAAGGAGGAAGGCCAACATTGTCATCCATAATCTACCCGAACAAGGAGAGGGCACTCTGCACGAGAGATCAACAAGTGACCAGTCTGCAGTCACAACCATGATCAGGGAGGTGATGAAAATAAACGTCACAGCATCAAAGTCATTCCGAGTTGGAAAGGCCATTCCTGGGAAACCAAGACTACTTATTGTCACCCTGGACAACCCAGCTTGTAGGCAGGACGTGCTGAAGGGTGCTCCCCAACTGCGCCACTCTGCACAGCACAGCAACATTTACATCACACCTGACCTGACCCAACAGGAACGAGAGGCAAACAGAAAGCTGAGGGAAGAGCTGGCATCCAGGCGGAGATCCGGTGAGGACAACCTGAGAATCAAGGGGGGAAAGATAATCTGCCTCAATCGGGAAACAAGTAACGATGCTTCCAGCACAAGCAGGAACCCTGGTGGCACCACTGTGCCTTCTCAAACTCGCCAGGCTGGAAACACCGCCCCTGACGCGCCTGTACCTGCCCAGAAAACCGCTGTGCCTCCAGCTGTTGGCATGGCATCTACCAGCGACGAGGGTGGTGGCACAGTGCAGAGACCTGGTGCAGCGGACGGCAATGGTGGCACACCTTTGCAAATCCCAGCACCTAGCTCAGAAGCCCAGCCAGCAAATGGTTTGTGACTAAACCATCCAACCCCTCGTGACACGAAGAATCTCACAGTTTTATACACTAATGCTGACCAGTTTATTAACAAACGAGATGAACTGTGCCTGCTGATTTGCGGTGATGAGCCTGACGTTATCCTCATCTCTGAGGCAATTCCCAAAGCCCAGAGAAACCCCATTGCCCCTGCACTATTAAATATCCCAGGTTATGAAATGCATCCCAGTTTTGATCTATCCACCCCAAACCTAGGCCAGAGTGGAACTAGAGGCGTATGCATTTACACGGCAACAAACCTGAAGGTAACAGAGGTTCATCTAGAAAAATCATCTGTGGAGAACACCTGGGTAAGATTGTGCCTCGCAGGAAGTGATAGCCTTCTGGTGGGCTGTGTCTACCGTAGCCCCTCTGGTGCAATGCAGGAAAGCACAAAGCAACTCGGAGAACTCTTCCAGAAGGCCTGCTCACTGCATGCTTCACACCTGATCATTGTTGGCGATTTCAACTTCCCCCACATTGACTGGGAGTCTGAAACATCATCTGCACCTGCATCTCATTGCTCACACCTGTTCTTAGATATGGTACATGACGGTCTTCTCTCTCAGCACGTCAAGCGCCCGACTCGATACCGATCGGGCGAGACACCGTCAGTGCTGGACCTGATCTTTACCAACGAGGAGGGTATGGTGAAAGACATACAGTACCAATCTCCACTAGGAAACAGTGACCATGTGGTCATTCGGTTTACTCTCTCCTGCTACACTGAAGTTGCCGCCTCACTCCCCGAGTATCACACCATAACTGACTATGAACACCTTTCCACCGCCCTTGGTGAACAAAACTGGTCCGATATGCACAGCATGAACCTGGATGAGGCATACCAGACGTTCAAAGCGCGGCTCTCGGAGGCCCTGACCGAAAGCTCCAGGAAGAGGAGATCGCGTCACAAGAAAAACATCTACATGAACCGCAGAGCCATGCAACTGAGGAAGAAAAAGAAGACGCTCTGGACTACATACCGATACACGCTTGACCCCATCGACTACGCCAGGTTCACACGCTGCAAAAATGAACTCAGGAAGCTCACCAGAACCCTACGCAAGGAATACGAGTCAAAGCTGGCTGACAATCTGAAACAGAACCCAAAGGCCTTTTGGAGGTACGCCAACACGAGGCTTCGCACCAGGAGCAGAGTTGACAACCTGCTAAACGAACGGGGAGATCTGACATCATGTGACCAAGACAAGGCTGACACGCTGGGCAAGTACTTCAGCAGCATCTTTACCCATGAGGATACTGAAGCACCAGATATGGACCTTGATTGGCAGGGCCCCTTCCTCGATGATGTTGAAGTATCTCCTCAGAAGGTGGAAGGAAAGCTGCTGTCCCTCAAGACTACCAGCGCACCGGGGCCTGACGCGATACGCCCCCGAACCCTTCGCGAGTCAGCACTGGCTCTCTCCTCCCCTCTGAGCATACTGTTCCGCAAGTCTTTGGACTCTGGGTCACTTCCCTCGGACTGGAAGACAGGCGAGATCACCCCGATCTTCAAGAAGGGAGACCGCCAACGCCCCTCGAGCTATCGTCCAATCACTCTGACTGCCATCCCTGTCAAAGTCCTTGAATCAATTGTCCGAGATGCTCTCCTCCAACATTTCCGCGAGAACGGTCTGCTCACCAGCGCCCAGCACGGCTTCCTCCCAAAGAGGTCGTGTACGACACAACTGATGGAAGCAATCGAGGACTGGAGCGCCGCCATCGAAAACGGAGACAACATCGACATCATCTACCTGGACTTCGCCAAGGCGTTCGACTCTGTGCCGCACCAACGTTTGATCCGCAAGCTGTTTGCATACGGCGTCCGGGGCCCGCTGCTCAACTGGATCGCAGCCTTTCTGATCGATCGCCGACAGAGGGTTGTGGTCCATGGATGCAAGTCCTCGTGGGCCCCTGTGACCAGTGGCATTCCACAGGGATCGGTTCTCGGACCTGTACTGTTCACGATATTTGTCAACGATCTTCCCTCGGAGGTCACTGGTTCAGTCAAACTGTTCGCCGACGACACGAAACTATACCGCCGCGTCCTGGGTAGCAGCAATGACCTCCAGACTGACATCGATGCGCTCGTCCGCTGGTCTGAGAAGTGGCTGCTCCCTTTCAATGCCCAAAAGTGCAAGGCGATGCACCTCGGCCACCGAAACCCGGAGCATGCGTACTATTTGAACGGAATCCTGATCCAAAACGCTGAAGAGGAGAAAGACCTCGGCATCGAAATCGACAACCAACTCAGTTTTCACAAGCAGACCGCGTCAGCCGTCGCTAAAGCCTCACAGATTCTGGCCGTCGTGAGACGCTCATTCGCCAACATTGACGAACACACGCTGCCGCTTCTCTACAAGACCATGGTTCGGCCCCTCCTAGAATATGGGAACACAATCTGGGGACCTTTTGGGAAAGAGGACCAGAAGAGGCTTGAACGCGTGCAACGTCGTGCAACAAGAATGGTCGCACAAATCAAGCACCTCCCGTACCCCGAAAGACTCCGTCGACTGGGACTACCATCACTCTACTACCGGCGGCGCAGAGGCGACATGGTGACCCTATATCAGCTGCTGCACGGAGGGCTGGCCATATCGCCAGAAAACTTCTTGACCCGGAGCAACTCAGCTCGAACCAGGGGCCACGAGTGGAAGCTCGAGAAACCGAGGGCCACCAAACTCGTGCGCAGAAACGCGTTCAGCTTCAGGGTCATCAACGACTGGAACTCTTTACCAAGTGCAGTGGTCATGGCACAGTCCGTCAACCAGTTCAAGGCCCAGCTGGACAAGCACTGGGGTGGCATCATGTACGACACCCCCTATCCCTGAGAGCCTAGCCTGTATCCCGACATGAGCTCGATGAGAGCGGGATCCCCAGGCCAAGTGGCCTTTTCAATCCCGATCACCACGAAGGTAAGGTAAGGTAAGGTAAGGTTTTCACCTAACCTATGGTGTTCAGTGCTCTTGCGAGGAACATATTGTATTTTCGCCCACAGGGCATCATCAGACAAGCAATTGGCACAATTGGCAATCTGTGCCAACTGCTTGTCTGATGATGCCCTGTGGGCGAAAATTCACCTAAAAACATCATTTTTGACATTTAAACTTTCTATATTCGAGGAAAAGGTCATTCATTTTGAGTTATTCACCTAACCTAGCATGAACAACCCCTTTTTGTCACCTGCTGGGTCTGGGATGGAGCTAACCTAGCGTTACTTAACCTAACGTTCAGCTGCCACGGGTCCAGTTGTCCACTACACTGGTTCACTTGTCCAGTGGCTCAGTTCTCCACTGGTTCAGCTGTCACTGGCTCAGTTGTCACTGGTTTAGCATTACTGGGTCAGTAAAGTTCTCAGTGTACCAAAATATAAGCTTGTCTTATATACTAAATATTAGATCGTCTATCTTGGCTCAATTCGCTCTAGTCTAGCGTCTGTCGTGCAACGTTGAACGAGCGCTGACTGACACTGCGCGTCCTTATTTCGGCAGTACGGCAGCATATCATTAAAAGAGGCGATGTCTATGTACCCATCGGAACCTAGCGTTTCAACTTCAAATGGAAAAATGGAAGAAGTAGTGGGAAGTGCATCATCTGCCTTGCTCGGTAAAAGTCGTCCATCGAAAGCTCCCGAACTGAACCTGGTGGAGCGACGGAATTGGATGATACACATTCATTTCATCAGAAAAGAGTTCGACACTTGCAAGGCGTTGCTAAAAGAACAGCTGCAAGAAACGAACGACATGTGCGAATATGCTTGCTATATCCAGGGTCTGATCCTGCGCTCCGAGGGTAGCATTCAGCACTCGTTCGAGATGTTCCAGCGCTGCCGCGAGCTGAACCCGCAGAACGTGGACAATTTGCGACAGATGGCCCGGTCTCTGTTCCTGCTCGGCCGGTTCGACATGGCGGTGGCCGCCTACACACAGGCCGAAAAGGAAGCCAGCAGCACCCCCGACTGGGAGATATTCTACAGCAAAGGGCTGTGCTACAAGCACCTGAAGCAGCTGGCCGCCGCCCGCGAGGCGCTGCGCCGCTCGCTGCAGCTGCACCAACACGAGCGCACCTACGACCAGCTGGGGCAGGTGGCGCTACTGCAGGGCGACCTGCAGGAGGCCATCGCCACCTACCAGCAGGCCACCGAGCAGTTTCCCGAGTCGGCCGAGCTGCTCACCTCCCTGGGGCTTCTGTACATGCGCGCCGGCCAGCACCAGCAGGCGTTCGAGCAGCTCGGCTCGGCGCTGGCCCACCAGGCCGACAGCACGGCAGCCATCCTGGCCGCCGGCAGCATGATGCAGGGCCATGGCGAGTTTGACGTGGCTCTGAGCAAGTACCGCGTGGCGGCCCGGGCGTCGGCAGAGTCGCCGCCGCTCTGGAACAACATCGGCATGTGCTTCTTCGGCAAAAAGAAGTACGTGGCCACCATCAGCTGTCTGAAGCGCGCCAACTACCTGTCTCCGTTCGACTGGAAGGTGCTCTACAACCTGAGTCTGGTCCACCTCACCATGCAGCAGTACGCCTCGGCGTTCCAGTTCGCCTCGGCGGCGGTCAACCTGCGTCCGGACCACGGCCCCATTTACCTGCTGCTGGCCGTGGCGCTGACGCACCTGGACGACCCCGAGAGCGCCGAGCAGGCGTACGGCGCCGCGCTGGCCGCCCAGCCGACCGAGCCGGCCGTGCCGCTCAACCTGGCCGTGCTGCTGCACGCGCTGGGCCGCCACGCCGAGAGCCGCAGCCAGCTGGCCGAGTACGAGCGGCGCGCGGCCGGCGCGCAGCCGCCGCCGGAGCTGGCCGAGACGGCGGCCCGGCTGGCCGGCCTGCTCAGCGGCGCCTCCACCTCCGGTCTGCCGTCCATCAGCGGCGCCTCCACCTCCGGCCTGCCGTCCATCAGCGGCGCCTCCACCTCCGGCCTGCCGTCCATCAGCGGCGCCTCCACCTCCGGCCTGCCGTCCATCAGCGGCGCCTCCACCTCCGGCCTGCCGTCCATCAGCGGTGCCGCACAGCGACCGCACTGACGGGCGGGCGGCTCCGCCCTGCACGGCTCCGGCTCTGCTGGTCAAGGCCGCCGCCGGCGCTCGACGCCGCTCCGGCCCGCGTCTGGTTACACCTAGTCACACTCGCACGGGGCATTTCACAATGAGGCCGACCCTCGTCTTGTCATATCTAGTCACAGTCGTACTAGTCACTACACTATGATCATCACTGTTGATTTTTAAATGTCTTAAAGACCATATTCATTCGCATGCTGGCTTTCTTCATTTTGATGCACATTCAATCGTATTTTCATTTGCGATTTAGAAATGGTATTTTGCTCGTTTAGTACAGACGTGTAAGGGCCACACCACATGTGATCGTTGTTTTCGCTGTAATCGCTATAATCGTTGTTTGTTTACATAAGGTCGAGTGAAAAACAATATGCCGAAAAAATGAAACACGAACCTAATCTGGCATTATAGCATTTGGTATCATGTTTAATTAGGCATGTGAGAATTGGCTCATTTTACAAACCCGTAACGCAGACACCAGGGGCCTCGCACCCGATCTCTAACGCCGGTGGACCGGAATGCGCCGGTTCTGAGCTGGTTCAGGGCGGAGGAGGGGAGGTCCAAGGGAGGTCACTGTGGGCGAGTGGAGCGCTGCGTCGTCTGGGTGTCGCTATCTGCCTAGAGCATGGAGATATGCGGTGTCTGCTCAATGCTTATTCCATTCCGTCCAAGGCCGTCGGCGGTATACCGTTTGAGGCGTCATGTTTTGTTTGATGAATAAATGCACAAACAATTTGTCAATTTTTAGGTATTACATTTTCCAACCGTTTCCTGTTCATACCTTGTATCAAAACCTGAATCATTGCACTGCTTTGCACCGGTTTTTATAGTCCTGACGTCTGGAGACGTGTAACCAACAACGCTACTGCAATACTGCAATGCATTTTTTCTTTTGTTTTGTGTCAAACGCGACAGGGGAAGTTATTCATCAGTTTCCCAGCGGTGACGGAGTTGCGACGGGCACAGGGCCGTCGATTATTCACCTGTCAGAAGACGCGACTAACCGAGCTCCCTGGTCAATACTTCTCACCCGGTCCAATCCTGTTCAGTCCCGACAATTCAAAGCCACGCGTCTGTCAGTGGTCAATAAGTTTATTTTGTCTAGCTACCATTGTTTAGCTCATTGCAAAGGCATAGTCGTCTGATCACATTGCACACTCTCACCATTGCACACACAGTTAAGCGTCACAAGAGTGACTGGCTGTCGAAGCGCGCCCACCCCTCCCCCGCGACCCGTCTCAGGACGCCGCCACCCCTCCCCCAGGAACGAGTGGACGGCCACCGATCACAGATTAAACACCGGGACAGCTGCTCAGCGCCGCAGAGGACCCATACACCCGTCCGCATCGGCCTAAAACGGGGTGAAAAATATAAAAACATAACGGTATAACCCTACACATCAGACAGCACCGTGCATCTGCATATTGTGACCGAGCATAGGGGTCATCTCACCGACTCCCGGCCAGTCGCGCGATCCATCGGGAATGTTTAACTGGAAATGGCCGGTTACGCGGTGCCTGCGGGGCACCAGGAATGCGTTAAAATCAGTTTGATGTCAGCCGTGGGACCGCTGACAAGGAACCGTTACTAGGGTAGCTCAGGCATCCACTGCAAGATTACGAGCCATCAGCCATAAGGACACAACGCTGGTTTGGGGCGGACGGTCAAAGCCCAGTCAGGATTGATTACAGACCCACGCCTGGGGCCCAAAGTCTGTTACCCTGGGAGTGTTACAAGTTGGCTCTGAGTATCCCTTTCAGTTACAGGAACCACCTGGTTCTCTTCCCTGGTTACGGAACTACCTTGTTCCTTCCCCTGGTTACCGGAACCACCGCTGACAGCCAGCACTGGTTACCAGCCCGCGGCTGCTCCTTGCATAGGGCACCGCAAGGAAGAACACAGCGGCGCGCAACATTAAAGCCAACATATTCTCAATGGCGGGTCGCCGTGTTAAAGCTGCTGCCGATAGCCCGCGGCGGGCGCCCGGTGAGGGTAAAGCAGGCTCCCAGCGCCGGCCCAGCCGCTCTGCGCCGGCTTACACCGACCCCGACGGTCAGACGAGACCTGCCCCGAGCGGAGCGGAGACCGGTGGAGTCTGGTAGAACTGGTAGAAACCGCCCCGAGTAGCGGCCGCACTACTTGGGCGGCGATTCCGTGTCCCGGGGCGACTCTCCGGGCGAGTCGACTCCGCGGGGCGAGTCTCCGGGCGAGGTGGCGCCCTGGGCGCGCGCGATGTACATGCGCAGTAGTTTCATTTTGGTGGCGTTGAGCGCGGTGAGGTGGGGCTCGACGGCGTCACCGCCGCACACAGTGTGCGCCGTGACGATACAAAACACTGCCGCCTTTCGCACCGACGACTCGCGGTTATCGTATGCCTGCCAGACAGACGGGTGTCACGTTAAATATATAATATAAGACAGAGAGGGGCGTAAAGTCATGGGACTAGTCACACGGATGGACGATACTTTACGGAGCCCGACACGGAGCTCACGGGACCGGGTAAAGGGGACCGTTACGTGACGGAGCCGGATGAAGGACGCAGTCGCGTGAGAGAGACGCATCACTACAAGTGCAAACTGCAGAGAGTAGCCAACAAAGTGCGCGCACAACAACGGCCAGGGACACGCAAAGGCAAGGCCAAGTGTGACGGTCACAGGAAAAGATATGTTTAGCCTGCAAAGGGGCGGCGAAGCCTAGAAAGCAGTCTCAAAAGGATCATGTGACACAGTGACACAATCTGAACAGAGTTGTCACATACCACTCTTGTTGCAGCTGACGTAAAGCGGCTGGGGTTATCGGGGTTATCGGGACGTTACTGGTCAAATATATCCTGTATTCATCGTTTGCTTGCAGGGCATATGCAGCCATGTCTTCCCCTACTTCACCGTAAATACCGCCTGGCTCTGTACGCAGTTAGGGGCGCGGGATGGTGCTGGGCGGCTGCGGTAAGGCGGATGGCCGCAGTAGGGGGAGGAGGGGAGGGGGCTGGGAGGCCGGGCTCACCTTCAGCAGCAGCGGCATCAGCTCCGGCAGCCAGCCGAGCACGGCGGCCGACTCCCGCTGCTCCATCAGCCGCGTCAGAGTGTTGATCGCCGCCCGGTTCAGTGGAAACTGACCGGCCTGCACGAGCGGTCCTAGCGCGCGCAGCGCCGCGTCCGCCGGCAGCCGCGCGGCCAGCGCTCCGGCGCACTGTTCGGCGGCGCGGGCCACCTCGCGCTCGGCCGGCTCGGCCTGCGCCTCGAGCACGCGTCGGAACAGTAGCTCGCTGAAGGGCAGCAGCAGGCCGGCTATGGAGTCGCGGCGCAGCATGGCCGTGAGCGCGGCGAGGACGGGCTCGCGCGCCGCACCGCCCGACTGCAGACTGTCCAGGAGCAAGTGGAGCACGGCGCTGCAGGACAGGGAGACGCGGGAGGTCAGTGATCACCGCCGTCACGCAGACACAGAACAGACGACTTTCAGTTCGCTCGCAAATAATGCTCCTATTCTGTGAAGTCGTTTAAGACACTATCCTACAAGAGTCCCCCCCCCCCCAAGAATAGCACAATGACGAAAAAGGCCCGTCTCCTGCTCCCAAAAGACCTGCAGACCGGTGTCTGACGTGAGCCGTGTCAAATTACCACGCGTGTCTGCCTATCACCCGCGTCACTATATCGGCCCGGGTGACCCCACCCGCGCCCCCGGTGTGCCCACCCACCTGTAGTGGTCGCGCCAGAGCTGCTCCGAGCCGGTCCCCGCCAGCCTGGCCAGCGAGTGCAGCGCAGACTGCCACTGTTCGGCCGGCTCCAGGTGGAGGGCGGCCAGCGCGGCGGCCAACTGCTGCTGCTCGTCGCTGTCGGAGGGTGCCTCCGGAGTGGAGGCGGCCGGAGGGTCCGGGCTGCGGGCGGGGTACAGGAGGTCAGACAGGAGATCACATTGCCACTACGCCTCCGGGCTGGAGACGAGACCGGCTGTTAGTAAAATATCGCCTGTAGCTAGGTAGGAGACCGGCACTAATGGCAAAACTACCAGCTATGTGTAATAAGCATCCTCCGTTCTTTATGAAAAAAACGTTTAAGCGGTGTTAGACGTTTTATCTTTTTAAAGGTAGTGTGCCACCTTCAAATGATTTCCCATTTTATTTTTCCTAGGATAAGAAGCTTCTGTTTTTACCTAATATCGCAAAAAAAATCAAAAATGGGCCTAAAATAGTGCTTTTTTCGCCTAAAAGTCTATCGGTTTTTCGATATGTATAACAACTGTAGTGGGCTGAGCTGCAAACAGGCGTCGGCAACAATCACGAATGCGGCGCACATGTGACAATAAGCAAAGGTCATTATAGAGTTACGACGTACGGGAATGAGTTATCAGCTGTCTAATCGTAGACAACACAATGTCGAATTTAAACTGTAAGCCTGTATTGGTATTGTTTCTTTAACCCGCGCCCTGCTGGGGGTCCTGGATTTCCACGCCCTGCTGGGGGGGGGGTGTTTGAACACCCCCCCCCCCTTGTAACTCGGCTCCTGGGCCACGTAGCGATACGCGGAAGGCGGCGTTCGAAAGAGCGTAAAAAATAATGACGAAATCACTTCGGTCAATTTTTTGGTCAGGTCAAAGGTCAGGTCACCAGAGGTCATTGAAGGCAAAATTTCGCCGATTTCCAGGTCGAATGTCGAAAATTTCCAAGAAGCCAACGCATAACTCGGGAACCAATAGAGCTACAGCGCCGCGGAAAAGCGCATTCGATAGCCCTATTAACGCCCTTTCTGAGTAATTCTCTCAGATTTGACCTAACGTCAACGGTTTTGCCTGCAGGGGGCAAAAACTGCAAAAATAGCCGATTTTTTTGAAAACAGTTTTTCTGCAATAACTTTTGGCCCAAGCCTTGTACGAGCTTACTTTTACCGGCATCGTGTTCCTCTCGTCAAGACGCATCGAATGAACTATAACTTGACCTTGAAAGGTCAACTTGAAAATTTGACCTCAGGTCAAGGTCATGACCTGACCGGAAAGGGTCATGTTGCATATCAGTCGATCCGTATCGTCGAGCTGAACACATCTAAGGTGTTTTCATCGCTCTAGCATGCCTCTATCAAAAGTTATTTGCGAAAAACTGTTAGATACCATTCGTGACCTAAGATGACCTCAGGGCATAAACAAGGGTCACGGACACCATTTTTAAGTTCAGTGTGTCTAAACCACTTGTAATTCGGTGTTTGGGAGTGTTTATAATGTCTTTCATCCAAAAGAGGCGCATTTCAATTTTCTCCCATTGACTTATAATGGGGAGGTCGCAAAATTGACCTGACCTTAGGTCATCGATATCAAAATTCTGAGATATACATTTTGTACATGCTATTGCTCTTAGCAATCGCTGAAAGTTTCAAAGCGATCGGTCACTCGGTGTAGCTATGACAGACATTGAAAGTTTTTATGAGGTGAGGTCACTTCAAGTGACCTGGTGACCTGACCTTGAACGACCTTGGTCTGAAATTTTCACAACATGTGTAGAATTGATGTATGATAAGGTGTACCAAAAACGGCGGCGCTCCGCGCCGCCGTTTTTGAGATATTCGCGAAAAACCACAAGGGGGGGTGTTCAAACACCCCCCCCCCCCAGCAGGGCGCGGGTTAATTTGGCTGTCGAATATTAATTTATGGTTTGAAATATTATTTTATGTAAAATAATTGATATGAAACAGCCGTCTCTAAAGTTATGACCCCATCTCACCACATGAAAGTGGCAGAAATGACAATGATCAGCTGACGCATTTTTCTTGGCTGAAGTCAGAGCGCGCGGCCCGACGCACCACCACCGCACCACAAAGTATGAGCAGAAGCCGCGCCCAAAGCCAGGGCCCCGGTAACGTGAAGTAGCCGAGTCGGGGCAGCGTGCGCTGACCCAAGCCGGGGCCGCGGCTTTGGGCGCGGTCTACCGCATCCCCGCGGGCAGCCCCGGGCTATCACATGACACCGGGAGGACGCGCGGCCCGGCTTGGGTCAGCGCACGCTGCCCCGACTCGGCTACCTCACGTTACCGGGGCCCTGGCTTTGGGCGCGGTCTACCGGCCCACCTAACAGGCGTGTTCGAAACCGCAGGAGATGATGATGAACGGGTTTATCGAAACTTGATTGGATGAGCCTATCGGTAATAGCGATTTCAGTGTGTGCATTTATTGTTCATAGTGGTGTGAAATGTGGTTGGGGTACGACCGACAACCCGTCGGGGCGAATTTCGCACTGGGGTACTCAAAATTTGAAGAATTTTAGACGTTTCCATGAGTTTTGAAGGTATGGATAAGTTCTAAAAATCCGGTTCTCCTTATCTGGGCCATTAACTCCATACGGTCCAGGAAAGCTGGCACACTACCTTTAAGCGGTGAGTCACATTTTAAAAACGTTTAAGCTCTCCCGTTTCGGCGACTGGACCTCAGCTCATGAGTGGCGACCGAGCTCGGTAGCTCTTTCCCGTTGGCCCTGTACCCCGCCGCGGCCCCCCGCCCCATTTCGCGATACAGCTACCCCGAACCCTTTCTTTTCCGCTGTCCACTGACCTGCCACCGTCGCCGTCTCGGCCGGGACGAGTCCGCAGCTGGGCCGCCGACTGGTCCACGCTGGCGCGACGGCGCAGGTGCTGCTGAATAATGTCCGTGGCCGCGTCCTGCCGGAGGGCAGCCAGGAGGTCAGAGGTCCGACGGCGGGTCAGAGGTCAGACGGGTGGAGCAGAGATCAGATGGTGGGCGGGTCAGACGGCAGATGACAGAGGTTTCTGCGGACTTTTCGCAGTCTTGCGACTGAATGACCTACACAATATCAAAACGCTTCGCTAGTTTATAACTTCCAGAACAAGGTGTCTCGTCCCATTTGCCGATGCAGCCATTCACTTTCCTTCCCAACTGACCGACAGCACACGCCCGAAGAGCTCAGCCTGTGACGCACCTGGCACGATTTGGGCACCTGCTGGAGGACACGGGTAAACTCTGCCGTGTTCAGCTCGAACAGCGCCACGATAACGGCACGCGCGGCGCTCCTCGTCTCCACCGACTTCTGGTCAGACGCCCAGCTGAGAACCTGAGGACGGGAGAGCTCGGTTCAGACGGAGAACGGCAGACGGAAAGCGTACGGCTCACGGCACGCGACGGAGAATAGCGGCACAACACAATAGACTGAGGTAAGACAGCATAGAGACGAGCGAGATACTGTTCAAAAAGCCAAGTCGAAATCCGCGAGCAAATGACACAGAGCTTTATTTAGTTGGAAACTGGAGCAGATTTAGTTGGAAACTGGCACGTAACTTGGCACGACGAACGTGTCAGTACAGCATAGTTTGACGATGCTGTTTAGGAAGCAGTAAGTTACTCAGCTATTTCCAGTGTTGAACATCTATAAGCATGTAACATGCACATAAGTAATAACCATTGTAACCGGGAACTTGGTTGGAACAATTCTAAGAATTTTAATCTCGCGGCACCCAGCGCCGATGCCGCTGTGTTCGCCGCGCCGGTCTAAGTAACTACCTTGGTGACGGCGACCGGCAGGTCGGCCTCAGCCCTGGTCTTCCCTACCTTGGTGACGGCGGCCGGCAGGTCGGCCTCAGCCCTGGTCTTCCCTACCTTGGTGACGGCGGCCGGCAGGTCGGCGTCGGCCCCGGTCAGCTCGGCTGCGTCCATACTGTCGAGCAGGGCGCGAAGGTAGCGCAGCGCGGCCGCCTTGGCGCGTCCGTTGGGCGTCTGGTACTGGTCCAATAGGAAGTGGCACACACACTGCAGCTGCTGGCTGGCTGGGAACGACGACCTGACAAAACGCAGCGGACACGGGTGAGGGCAGTTGTTCAGTACAGCGGACCCGGAGACTGTAAAGGTAACTGTTCAACATAACGGATACGAGTGAGGATAGCTGTTCAGCACAGCGAACCCACGGAGGATAGTCTCTTTGACGCGAATGGACAGCGCTGTTGATAGGATGATAGAGAACGGCCTCGACATCGAAGTACCCTCCACACATCCTGACCCAAACGTCTCAAGGCGACCTACTTTTCACATATTCTCAAAACTGGAAAGTGTGTTCATTTTTTTGTGGAGGGGTACAGGCAAACAGCAATGTGGTGTCTGACATGACCACGCCCAGTGTGTGCCTCACTGACCTGACCACTTCCCACTATAACTCACCTAACCACACTGAGTGTGTGCTCCAGTTTCTGAACCACGGATCCGAGCACGTCGGCACCAAGTTTGGTGAGTAGTCGCGCCACCAGCACGCGGAGCCAGTCACCCAGGTCGTCGTGGTGTTGGATCACCAGCTCCTGGACCGTCTCCAGAAACACGCCAAACACCTGTACGAGCGGGGATGATTAGGTGTAAACAGCAGGCTGGGACAGCGGAAAGGCAATGATAATTAACGAACAGAACAAGCATCAGGGTGTCATTTCAAGGTGATATGCACATAGACGAGCCTAGCTATTAGGCAGCCGAGTTAGAATGAAAAAGAAAAATGTAAACGCCCGTCGGCATTTTTCTTACCTTGGTGTGCGGGTCCATGAACATTTTGGTGAAGAGCTCGGTGACTCGGCTGAGCTCGGAAGCGGCTAGCATTCTGTTGGAGCGGAGCACGGCCTGCAGGGCGAGCAGACCCTCGCGGCGCTCCGACCACTGCGTGGAGGCCGCCTGCTCGATCACATCACCCACCGGCTGCCGGCAGACGACGACAGATGGGTTACTGACACTGCCCGGGAGGACGCGGCAGTAACTGAAGTCAATGTTGTGAGATATCAGCCACAAGGGAGCTGCTCCTAACTTAGGTATGGGAAGCCACAGTAACGCCTCATCGCAGGGAAGAGAAAGAGATGGACAATAGCCAAACTGAGCCAGCCTGTGCGACAAGAGCAATGCATAAATTGAAAGGTAACAGCGATTAAGTACCACAACTGAAAAAATCATATTACGCTTGCGCGTAGTATCGCTGACTGCAGTTGCTCAGTGCGCGTTGCGCATAGGTTGCAGTGATGACACGTACCCGGTCTCCGACCTCGGGCAGGCTGCTGGGGAGTGAGCCGAGCGACTGAGGGCCGCTGTTCCAGCCACCCGCCTGTCAATACACAGACAGAGGAGCAGTGTTAGCGGACACACTCACACCCCAGTCGTAATCGACTTATATCCGCACACGGTTTTGTTTTTGTCAAACTGGCCTCAAGTCCATTAAGCCCATCCACCCTTAAACAGAGAACATATGAGGCTTAAAGTCCTGTAGGGATACAAGCATTTCGATGGAATCCATTCTATTTAACTGAGCACGGCAATAAAACGCCTCATTCATTGAGAAAGCTGGCACTATCATAGCGATTTACGCAATTCAAGTAAGATTACGTCATTACAGCATTTTTTACGAGGCAGAGATGACGATAAATATTTCCTTCAGCGTCTTTTCCAACAAAGCACCGTTCCTGACCACAGTGTGGGTGTGACTCACGTCTCTGCGCGGGGTGGGCTCCAGAGACGAGCGGCCGGAGCTGAGACTGCCCGCCTCTGACGGGGAGCCCTCTGAGAACATATCGGGTACTGGCGAGCGCCACCGGGCCACCGACGCCTGTGTGGAACCAAGCGGCAGGGTCAGATAAGGGTAGACAGATTCTGACAGCGTACAGACAGGGTAAGGTAGGGTACGGACAGGGTAGATATGGTGCGAAGTACGGAGAGGTTACGGAGTATGAACCGTCAGATAGTGGGCGGACAGCTGGGGATGGTACCGAGCCGTCCAAGATAAATCTACTAACAGGAACATGTCACTGGCTCTTGGCCCCACACCATCAAAGCATCTGCACATTAGACGCGGGTGGACCCTCCCGAGAGCCACAGTTGAGCCCCTGTCCAGCCAGTCTCGCTGTCAAGCATATACGAGTGTATATACGCAGACATTACCGGAGTGAGCCGTCCACTCACCGGTGTGTCTGAAGGGGCGCTCTCAGAGGCCCTCCTCTGCCGCAGAAGGTCGGCGGCCGCCGCCGGACGGGATAGGCCAGTCACACCGGGCCTGAGGTCAGACGGGGTCAGCAGGTCATCCATAGAGGTCATCGGGTCACATACAGAGGTCAGAAGGTCACGTGCAGAGGTCACCATATGTTATCCACAGAGGTCAGCAGGGTGTGTTGCATAGAGCACAGTTGTTCATGTACAGAAATCAGGGGGTTGCGTTTTCATGGACATCCGCCCCATAAACTCGAGAGCGGCACATATCTCCCGGTACTAACCCACGGAGACAAGACTTCGCCAGTGGAGGAAATCTCGTCTGCACTAACCTCCTGATCCCTGTGGCTCCCGCCGGCGTCTGCCGGTGCGGAGACGTCTCGCGGGACGGACCCGTGGAGCGCGGAATGCCCGAGCGGCGCCGGCGTCTGCCCAGCGTCTGGGACTCGGACGGAGAGCCGCGCCCGGTCAGACCGAGACGAGACGGCGAGCTGCTCCGACTGCCGGCTGGAGACGGGGAACGGGTCAGTGGGGAGACGGAGAGTGTCTCTAAACCAGCGCCCGGTCAGACCGAGCCGCGACGGCGAGCTGCTTCGGCTGCCAGCTGAAGACAACGGCGGGAGGGACGGGTCAACGGGGAAATGCTCTATCCCTACATTAGTGGAGGGTCAGGAGAGCTGGGGGAGGGGGGGGTCAGGTCAGGTCAATGGGAAGACAGTCAATCCCGATAGCAGCGGAGGGTCAGGAGAGCTGGGGGGGGGGGGGTCAGGTCAGGTCAATGGGAAGACAGTCAATCCCGATAGCAGCGGAGGGTCAGGAGAGCTGGGGGGGGGGGGGGGGGGTCAGGTCACGAAATCTTGTTAATTTATAGCAAGCAACTTCTCATGATGAATAGCATGAAAAGACACTAACACTACAGGCACTCAGGCAGCAAGCTAGCTTATAGCAGGGAAAATACGGCACATGCAAACTAAGCGAACTAGGGGCTCAGCCTGTATCACTGATCATGCTGCCGGAACTGAAGTGGTACTGTTAACGACCATCGTTGAAAATTATCGCCGCCAAGTTGATTGTGACCATTCCCAGTGTTATCCATGCGACAAATACCACTACTAAGTACTAGTCTGAGTGTAGGTAACCAACACCGATTATTGAGCTTGGTGTGACCGCTATCTGTGTTGAAATCACTTGTAGTGCTGAGCTGCGTGTAACTAGTGTTGAGTTGACTCTGGCCAGTACTGAGCTGAGTGTATCCAGCACAGTACTGGGTAAGTATTGGTTCAGTATCGTGCCCTCGATTCCGCACTGGGGGAGATATACGCCCCCTGATGCGATGTCAGTCACTCACGCTGACTCTGCGTCACGGAACGGGTGCGCTGTGGGCCGACGGACGAGGGCGGCGGCCGCGCGCGGCCCGGACCCGGCGTGCTCGATACTGCGGGAACAGGCACGGCGGCGTCACGGCGGGCCGCCACGGTACGAGCGACAGACGGCGGCGCAGCCAGGCAGCTCCGTGAGCCGGCGTCATAGCACACGGACGGGTAGATAGCGAGCGAACTACTCGGCTAGCGGCAGGGACAGGCGGCGGTAGGTAGGTGGGATGCTGGGGTAGCGGGATGCAGACAAGCATTCTCTGCTAAGACAGCATAAGGCATAAGGCATACGCACTACGTAGCATCATTGAAAAGGCAAAATGCAGCCTAAAATTCATCCAGTAAATGAACGGCATACACGTATCATATAGATGACACTGTGGCAGTAATTACTACGATGCAAAAATGATACTAAAGGCACGGAATATATAGTCTACGACATGGAATGGACAGGAGCTTCGATTAGCATTGCCACGTGTGTAACCAAAAATCAAGGATTTTGCCGGATGAATATCCGGAGATCCGGAGGATGCGGATGAATTTCTTTCCACGTGGGTTTACATTTTCATATATTTTCTTAACATTTCATAGGTACATTTTTTTAACAATCGTCGAATGATTCGTCTTCAAGGGCCAAGTTGTGACTGTGACTTTGAAATGGTAACCGTATATTTTATTGGAAACTTTTAGCACACATTGTTACGGGAGCATTTATACATATTCATTGCATTAGAGTTTTAACATTGGTCTAAACTTAAATGAAATTCGTCTAAAATTTGATGAAGATGAGGAAGTGCGAGCACTCGCGCTCTACTTCCAGGGTCCCAGGACTATATATGGCCTTGGTCCCAGGGCGTATCGGTTCCTACAAAAACGGTACGTCCTTCCCCATCCTCGAACTCTGCGGAGGAAGATGGAAAAAAATACAGATGCGACCTAGCTTTCATGACGCTATCTTGGCTCTCATAAAAGAGAAGTTCGCCGGAGCAAGTGCCAAGGACAAGCTGTGCATCATTTCGTTCGACGAAATGCAGCTGAAACCAAGGTTGGCCTACCAGCGGGGTGATGACGTCATCGAGGGCTTCACTGATCATGGCTCTCTCTCTCTCTCTGCCGCGTCAATGCCTGCGCCGACCACGCCTTGGTCATGATGGTGCGGGGCGTCAGTGTCACCAAACGCTGGAAACAGCCCATCGGTTTCTTTCTGAGTTCCGGAACGACCAAGGCCGTTGTGCAGCAGCAGCTGTTAACACAGTGTGTCCAACGTGTAACAACAACAGCGGGATTCACTGTGCTAGCTACAACTTGTGACATGTCAAAGAACAACCAGGCGACCTACAGACTGCTCGGAGCTGCGGAAACCGGCTTGTTCACCGTGGACGGGCACGAGGTTGCTGCTCTGTATGACGTGCCTCACATCTTCAAATGCATACGAAATGCATTAATGAAATACGATATTGAAGTAGACGGTGAAGTAGCCTCTTGGAGTCATTTGGAAACACTCTACGCACTGGAATGCGCTTCTTTCCCACGGGCTGCTCCAAAACTAAGCCAGAAACACATCAGGCCAAACAGCTTTGAAAAATGAAAGTCAGCTATGCCCTACAGGTGATGGGCCGGACAGTAGCAGCAGCAAGCACATTGCATGCGACCCACGGCAAGCTCCCGCGCACTGCACTCCCGACTGCTACTCTCCTGCTGCGCCTAACGACCTGCTCGATGTGCTAAACTCTTCCGCCCGGTTCGACCCCTGCTCAAAGCGACGCGCGATATCCAGCCTCCATCCAGCAACGGCGGGAGAACACATGCAGTTTCTTCAGGAGAGCGACGCCTGGCTGCAGCGGTGGACGGTCGGTGGCGGCGCCAGCATCGACTCCATTCGAGGACTGCGACAAACGATAAAAGGCGTGGTGAAAATCTGGGACTTGTGTCAGGCTGCTGGGTGCACGTTCCTGTGCACTCGCCGCTTAAACCAAGATCCAAGCTACTGAAAATGAAAGAGTTTATCTCGGCAAAAATATATATTAGGCACATACACGGTGCCTGTGTACCTACTTATAATGAAGAAACATTATGACAACGTTTGAAACGTTTAACACAACCCCTCCTCTAAATGCATTTATGAAACGTGAGTGGGCCAATAAAGGCAACTAGTTTTAACTGTAACAAAAAAGCACTTCTGGGCACGTAAATGGGGTAAATGTGGTAAAATGTGGTAAAATTCGCCACCCCATATCGCCTCTACCGGAAACCCGTTTTAACCCCCGAAGGACATTCCCCCGAAGGAGCAGGATCGTTCATGTTTATCAAAACAGCCGGCAACTTTCTATCGCAGCGAAAGGTTGGCTAGGACGGGAGTCATTGCTTTCACTGACTATGACAAACCTACTCGAACGGATTTTCACCTAGGAAGTTACCAAACGAATGTTGAAAAATACATCAGCACCATGAAAAAACCTTACCCACCATCCTCAGCAACGCCGTCTCCCGCCGGCGTCCACCGGAAAAGGGCGGCAAACGAGCGATGTTTGAATTGTCAGAAGTGATTCCAGACAGCAATACCTGATTAGAATAAAATGCACCTTCTCATATTGCCCCGGTACCCCGTTATGCTCCACCTTCCCCTATTAGTTATAGGTCTGGCAACTATACTTTCATCCTCGTAAAGGAAGTAACCACAGCGAATCCGCACGACTAAATCATCAGGTCGCCAAAAACTCGGCGGTTACAGGAAATCTCGATCTTGTCCATTCCATGTTGTAGACTATATATTCCGTGCTAAAGGGTTATAGGGGAAATATTTAGATGAGGGTCCCCGTAGCGGCAGTGGATTGCTGGGTAGCTCATTCCTAGAGTAGCTGCGGGACACCGTCATGCATTCTGCAGAGATACAAAATGTCTTGGACCAGGCCTACTACTCACAGGAGCGACGGCCATTTCCGTCTGTTGGTTGTCAGCGGCGGTGGGGAAAGACCAGACCGGACTATCACTCACGAATCGGGACACGAGTAGATATACAGACAGACCATCACTGAACGAAACACGTCCCGATGCAGACTAGATACACACAAACACAGAGACGGTTACAATAATTTAACCGAAACAGGAACAGAGACGGTAACAAAAGGTTAGACGGTCACAACTCACAATCCCTTGAGCGAAAACCACATCGGTGCTTAAAATTGACGTTAGACATAGGACCTCCGCAATACGCTGCTGGTTACTGTGGGTCTGTAGCTGGTCTATGGTTCTTGGCCTACATATAACCGGGCCGTGTGGACAGTCATGAGAAGTCCGCGATTAATGACGGGTCTGTCGACTGGGGAGGGCCTGTGGCCTGTGGTCAATAGCCGGTCTAAGGTCTGTGATTGGGTCTGTAGCCGGTCTGTGGTCTGTGAATGACTCTGTAGCCGGTCTGCGATCCTCCAGGGGCCGGGTACTCACGCAGACTGCCGGGTCCGGCGGCGGCGCGCGCGCGCTGGGCGGCCGCGTACTGGGCGCGCACACTGGCCCGCTGTGCCGCCTGCAGGTCGATGGCAGATGTAGAGCGGAACGCCGGCGGCGCCGGAGACTTCCCTGAGAACGAACAGAGAGACGTTTATATGAGACGAACGCAAAGATAAGTCCGTACTCGTATCAGAACATCAGCACAGACGACAGATCCATCGATATGCGCAGGGGGAGGATGTCCCAGGTCCCCCACTGCCCATTTGGCCGCTGTCCACCGGCGCGGGGGGTGATGGGGCGGCTGCGACAGTCCGCTCCTCTCCCGTCCCTCTACACTCACCCCTATCCACCGGCGCGGGGCTCGGCTGCGGCAGCCCGCTCCTCCGGGTGGAGCCCGTTCGACTGAGTCCCACGGCCGACGGCAGGCTCTCCTGACTGGTGGAGCGAGAGCGGCGGCCCGGCGCTGGTGACAGACGAAACGCACGGAGCTTCAGATACAGAGCATATACAGCCAGCAAACAGCTTTAGTTCATACTAAGCGACAACCCAGGTCCCGGATACAGATAGGACACAGCCTAGACAACACAACTCAGATCAAACTAGTCGCGCCAAATCGTCACAATATATTGTGTATCGCACGAACCTTTGAAAGACGAATCTGGCCATTCCAAGACGAATCGAACAGAAGAAAAAAGATTTTATTAATGCAAAGAGGGAAATACAATATAGCAGTAATCAATCTTTATGCATTAAGAACTTAATGACGAACAGAACACAACCTAAGCGTGAATATAGAGAAAGCAGGCTAAACAAAAAGAAGTAAAATCTTGCAAACAGCGCGCAGAATACCACGCCACGAATTGCATACAGGTGAACCAAGTCAGTCGCACACAGCTAATCAATAGCGCCGCGCGAACAATACAGACAGCACTGCTGTCCGCTACCGAGCGTGACCGGCCCACCCTGTGACACAGTACGCACTGTTGAGCGAGCCGGCGCTACCGGACTGGGAGCGGGCGCCGGCCAGCAGCCGCTTATGCTGCGGGTCCAGTGAGTTGAGCAGCGAGTCAGCCTGCTGCCGGAAGTGGTCGGCAAACCCCCAGTACGCCCTGTCGGAGAGGCACCGCGCACGGTCAGACTGACCCAGGGGTGCCTAAATAGCGCTTAAACAGAAACAATTGGCATAGTTCTCGAAAAACGCAGAGAGAACACACCGGCTCGAGTTCTGACCGTCACACTCCAGCAAATATTTGACTTTTGCAGCAAGGGGACAAAAGTAGTCCTGGTGACGCTCGACTTTTACATTAAGAATATATATGTTACAGGGAGTTTGAGAAATCCGTGAGTTTGCAAACTCCCTAGTGAGTTTGCAAACTCCCTGACTCATCAGTGAGTTAGCAAACTCACTAGGGAGTTTACAAATTCACTAGGGAGTTTGCAAACTCACTGACCGGTCAGGGAGTTTGAGAAATTGCAGAGTGATTGGGCCAAATAAAAACAAGTGTGCAGCATGTGGGTGGCATACGTGCCGTCCGTGATGTTAAAACAAAGGAGGCTAGTTCTAAGGCCTCGCACGCTGACAAAAAGCTTATACGAGCTCGTAAAGCTCGTAAAGCTCGTAGATCATATGCACACCATAAATACCTTTTTATTTTAAACTGCTCAGTGATTTACCCATGCATGTTCCGCCGCTTTATTTAGTTATACATTTATTTAGTTCACGTCCCAATTAGACCCGTTCCACTCAAGTGTGGCTATTTCAGAGTCAGGCTAAATATATCAAAGTAGAAAGAGCGCACTGTTGGTCACTTATGCTAAAGTACAGGCACACGCATCAATTCACGCCCATTCCCACTCCGCCATAGACGTGTCATCGAGAGCCGGCGCTGCTGGCAGCCAGCCCAGCTGCGACTGGCGCACGCTGCTTGTTTGTTTTTGTTTTGTTGGGTTAGGCCCTTTCGGTCTGACAAGACCATTTCAGAGTCGGACGAATGATAGGAATTATAGGGGGGACATTGGTCTGGGCAGACACCCTATATGCAGAGTCGCCGGGGCTGAGCCCGTACGAATGGACAGACCGACCAGCCCCCCAAGCACTCTCTGCACCCGGCTACGGGGTGCGCTCCCTCGGGAGCAGCGGTGCCGCTCCAAGGGAGCAGCCCGCATGAGATAAAGGTGCCTGTCCAGCCCGGAGTGGGGGTTTCGGCGTGGACGAGAGGGATTTCAGTATCCTGATTCCTGAGGATGGAAACGACGGAACGGAGGAGCACGTTGCTCCGAACCTCCCCTTTACATAGCCGCGAGTAGCATTTTTTTTCGGTAAAACAATGAAGGATCTGTAAGCTTTTTGCCAGCGTGCGACGGTTATATAGGCCGTACCACTATACTCTGTTCCGTTTCAAGTTTGCAGCCGAAGTGCCCTGCTGAAGGCAGTGCGTGATTTCTGTAGATACATCTCTTGCATTTTGAGACGCAAATTCTTGAGCGGAGGAGCGATCTGCCGAAGAAACTCCGACTGCAAGCTTGATATGGAACAGACTATAGTCGCTTTTGTTTTAACATCACGGACGGCACGTATGCCACCCTCATCTTACACATTTGATTTTATTTGGCCCAATCGCTCTGGAATTCTCAAACTCCCTGACCGGTCAGTGAGTTTGCAAACTCCCTAGTGAATTTGCAAACTCCCTAGTGAGTTTGCAAAGTCACTGATGGGTCAGGGAGTTTGCAAACTCACTAGGGAGTTTGCAAACTCACGGATTTCTCAAACTCCCTGTAACATATAGATAAAATCGAGCTTATTTGTAGCATGACCTCTAGGTCGGCCGTCTGATCAATATATGTAAAGTATATGCAGGCGGCAGGACCCGTCATAATTCAACACATGCGAGCCTTGATTTATTCGTGCCAATTCTTACCACATCAGACCAGCATATCCAATGACCCACCACTAGCACACCAGACCCTCTCCTGACTCCTACTCCCACATATCCCCGCTGTACCCGACCCTCACCCTGCCGTACCTGCGACTAGTGGCTCGCACCTCGCTGTCCGCGTCAGCCACACCGCGGCGTATCGCCTCCTGAATGGCCGCCACGTGTCGCTCGAGGGCCGGCGTCGGCCATGTGGTGATCATCTGCTCGAGGAACTCGCAGCAGGCGCGCCGGATCTCTCTGGACTTGCTGCTCAGCTGGCTGGTGATGATGGGGATCAGCCGGGCGTGCTGCGTGTGCTGGATGATGAACCGGATGGCCACCACGCCTGACGTCGACATCACCTGTCAGAGAAAGGTGAAGAGTTTAGAGGGACTGACGGGAAAACGTGAGACATGTAAGAGATAGACGGATACACGGGGAGGATAAGAGAGACATTGGGGAGACAACGGAGACAGTAGAGATACAGAGACAGTGAGGGGACAGACGGAGACATGGTAGGGTTTGCCAGAAACACGGGAAGGTAGACGAAGACCCTGGGGAGCCGGAGATGTTGGGGATGTGCTGAAGGAGACGCTAACTGAAACAGGAGATTGCTGAGGTGACGGGGATGGTGAGGCAGAAACTGGCAGGAGGTGGGAAGGGAAAGAACAGTAGTGAAAGGGCGTTTGAGCAGCGTCATTTACACAGTGCAAACCATGATAGCTAAAGCTAACATTAAGTTATCTAAAACAAGCACCGTTCCATGTTTCAGTATGACAAAGCACTCCATTGAGGGTTAAAGCAAATTAGCTTTGCACAACGGATGTCAACTCTATATCTCAGAGTTGGTAGTTTGAACAGCGTCACCGGCCGCCGGGACGGGGCAGCTAGCGGCCGCCCGGTGGCTCGAGCTCAGGTAGTACCTTGGCACTGTTGGGTATCAGTTCGATGAGAACCGGCAGCAGCGAGTGACACAGGTGGTCCACGCGCGAGCCCAGCTGCTGCGACAGGTAGGCGATCGTGATGCAGCCCTCGCGCACCACCTGAGACCTGCGGCAGAACGTCAGGTCAGGTCAGCTCAGGTTAGGTCAAGTAAACCATCTCCCACCGCGCCGGCCGGGACCTGTAGAGCGGCACAGTTATTCAACATGTTCTTATACACATAGCAGATACACCAGAAACTGAGAAGTACACAGAAGATCTGAAGATCGCTGCATGATCGTTGCATGATCGTTGCATCGACGTTGCAGCAGCCTGACATCGCTCGCTGACTGACAGGTGACAATATTCAGCAGCAGCAAGGAACTTGGCCGGCATGTGTTGGCTCAGCTAAGATCTTGGACCATGAGCCAGTCTTAGTCTTAGGTCTCGGTAAGCCAGTTTTTTTTTTTTTTTTTGCTCACAAGAGGTCCTGAACAATGAGCCAGTGTCCGCTCACCCCAGGTCCCGGTCGCTGAGCCAGTATTAGCTCACCTGAGGTCCTGGACGGTGAGCCAGTGTTAGCTCAGCTGAGGTCCTGGATGGTGAGCTAATTGTTAGCTCACCTGAGCTATGGTTAGCTCACCTGAGGTCCTGGACGGAGAGCTGCAGCGCCGGCTCCATGAGTCGCAGGTGCCGGTACAGCTCGTCAAAGTCGGCTCCGCCGGCCACCAGCACGCCTCTCAGCTTCCTCAGCTGCGGGCGAGGGGATGGCACCGTCACTGGTTACAGAGGTTAGTGGTTAGCCCGTCAACACGGGACGTCATTTACTGTCAGTGCCACCAGCACACCTCTCAGCTCTCTCAGCTGCGGCAAAGGGGACGGCACGGTCAGTGATGCTGCTATCAGAGGTCACCGTTGACAAAGTCAGTGCCGTAACCACGGGCGACCACCTGCGCTGCACTGTATAGGTATGACACATACATGACAGTGACACCGATTATCCTCACCACCGACTACTAGGATGAATAAAGAGAACACCTTGGAAAATTGTGGGTCAGTCACGGCACCGAGAGATAGTGCTAGGGGATGAGATATATCATATAAGCGTCAGCAGCGGCTATATTCAAATACTTCTTGGAATCCGTGGCCATCTGTACATACGGTGCAAACCATCGGAGACCACAAAATACCAGCGGAAAGGACAGTGGGCCGCTACTGACACTGACAATCAGCAGAACTAGACACCGCCGACTGGACAGCGTCCGCGGCTCGCCGACCGTTTGTTTGTTTGTTTATTGGGGGTTAGGGGCGCGCCGACTGCGAGGTCATTTTGCGCCCATAACAGAGATTTTAAATACGTCTGTAATTACTTACTTATTTTCGTGTTATGCTTAAGAAAGGAAAGTCAAGGGGAAGTTGGCTGCACGGATAAAGGAAAATATGCTACCGTTATGGATCCAGCGCGAGTTATCTGAGAGAAGATCTAAGAGAGTCACGCTCGCCGACCGTCCCAGGTGACCGCCGTTCGCTCACCGCCTCAGTGCGCGAGTCCCAGTCGGCCGACGGCTGGCTCAGCGTCTCCCGCAGGCGCGTCATCGTGTCCTCGAGCTCCTTGGGAGAGAAGATCTGTAGCCGTGGCACCTGCTCGAACGACGCGATGAACGTGGCCTCGTCGATGGCGCCGGCGCCTGCCAGTCATGGACGGGTCGGGTCAGGTCAGAGCTCAGGGTCGGGGTCGGGTCAGCTCCGATCGCAGGGTCAGAGGTAAGAGTTCAGGCCTCAGGGTCAGGGTCAGGTAATATCGGATGGTCAGGGTCAGGATAGGTCAGGCGGTTCTGCGACACCTGAGCGAGCGTCATTTCAGCGAACGACATTTGAGCGAAGCCTTTTCAGCGATTATCAATTTAAGCGATTGACTATTTCAGCGATTGCCAAGTCGGCGAATTCAATCACAGCGATTATCAACTTAAGCGAGGACCAGAATCAGCGAAACCAGATTGAGCGAATATATGGAGGTCAATGGGGGACCAATTGAGCGAACACAGTTACAGTGAAACCGAACGCGACGGAAGTCAATCATTTGCTACTTTTCGGGAAGTCTTGCCCTTGGAATACCCGCTTGGTATGTGTCATGCTTCAAGCTGTGCGCGGCAAATTAAAAATTTGCTTTTTAAGCTTGGAAACCACAAAAATATTTGGCCTCATTCTGCAGCCTTGATCTGGAAATGTGGAACGTGAGAGATAGGACGATGGAAGGAATGCCAAGGACCAATTATAAACTCGAGGGATGGCACAGGGGGATCCAGTCTATGTTTCAGGGACCTCACCCAAATATCTGAAAATTCGTAAGTTGCTTAGGGCAAGAACAAATTTGGGGACATGGGGAACTGATCCAAACTCAAGCGGGGGAATTTCGCGAAAAACAGCACAAGCAATATGAATCTGGTCATCATTATTGATTGGCAAACAGCAGGGGGGGGGGGGGTGAAATCGAACCGCTGAAATTTTTGAGAAATGTGGCATTAAATTTGGAGCTTAATGTCTGAACTTTGCACGTGACATCCGCCATCCAGTTCCGGATAACCATGAAAAGTTCCGGAAACATTCGTTGTACGTACGCTCGCAAAAGAAAAAAGAAAAAATACACCGTTACGGGACGATGAAGTGCTTCGCTGAAATGACAGTCGCTCAAACTGTAGTCGACGAAATAGATGTCGCTGAAACATAGCTTTCGCTTAAATTGACAATCGCTATATTTGATAATCGCTCAATTTGATATTCGCTAAGTTGCCAGTCGCTGAAAATGGTTCGCTCAAATGACGTTCGCTCAAATGACACTCGCTAAAGTCGCTCGCCGAGGTCAGGCATGGAGAACGGGGACGGACCAGGTCAGATCTGAGGTCAGGGTTGGGTCCGGTCAGATCTGAAGATGAGAGACCGGATCAGATCATGCCTGAACAGCAGAGACTAATGAAATAGCAAATATAGCACGGGAAATACCAGTTCATAGTTTAAAGGCTATGAATTGTAAAATATCAATTTTCATCTCCATTCTTACATCATGCCTATAGCGACCGTTTACAAAGACAAAAATCTTCACAGCGATCCTAGTACCAAATAAAATAAGCCTTGTGCAGCGTTCAGTTGGCGTAATTCACGGAGCCCCGGCAAGACCACTTCAGAAGGCTCAAGACCATGACGTTTTTGGTGACATCACTAAAACCCAGTTTGCTTAAACAACAGTCCAAGACCATACGTAAGCCACCACCAGCTCGCACGATCCGTGCCTCGCTAGGTTTGGGTGTGGTCGGTGTCAATGACACTGACAGATCGCACCTTTCACGGATGGGGCGCGGCCGGTGCGACCCCGCCCCTCCCCATCGACCGCAGTCCGTCCGTCCGTCGGGCCCTCCCTCACTGACCGGGGAGGGGGAGGGGGAGGTGACTCACCCGGTCCGCAAGGCCCCAGTAACTACCGACGGACTTCAACAAACTGCTCAGAGGTCAATGCACATATAATTTTGGCAGGGTATGACCACCTGAATTATCAGTGGAGAGTGGATCAGTAGATTTATGCAGCCATCGACAACTTACTACAGTCACAGACTGTCCCACCACCTCTTTCACTGCAGCCCTTTCAGGAAGTGCCGCGTTAAGCGGAAAAATCGATAGTCCACCGAATTGTTAGGCTTGACACATGCAGTGTCGCATATGCAGATCAGCGAATAACATTGACCGTTTTTCTGTAACTGATTACCATATCCGTAACTGGCCCCACCTGACCTGAAACACGACACTGGCATCGTCACGTCCAGCTCTGTTGCTACCAACACGTCAGACGCATATGCAGTTTGACCCACCCTGCGTTAAAGGCGGCTAAATCCTTATTTCCTCGCTGGGTTCGCGTGATAAAAAAGCAGATGTCATAAGCTGCCGGAAGGCCTTGCAGAATGCACATTGCACACCCCTTCCTGTGAAAAATTTTGCATATGCCTAGTTATTCAAAATAACCGCGTTCTTATCCCGGCTTAGCCATCCTGATATGAAGTAGCAGTGACGAAATAAACCACCACTTTTACTTTATCATTTTTTCGGTGTCACTTTGTTCATATATGACGATGGCTCAAATTGTTTTTAGCGGACCGCTGCCATGAGGTAAGTTTCTTTTCCCACGTAAGAGTGACACACGTTATCGTTGGAGGGCAAGATTATACGACATTTTACTATACAAAAGCGGCATAACAGCTTTTAAAACTGAAGTTTATCGGGGGCAGGTATAGGAGTGATGCGGAGTTTCGGGATCGGAAAGGCGGAAAAGGGGACATGGATGGGGATAGACGGAGAATGGGATGGAGACGGGAAAGTGGACGGAGACAGAGTCAGAGACGGGGATGGGGACGGAGACAGAGACGGAGGCAGACAGATACAAATACAGAAACAGAGACAGAGACAGATACAGAGACGGACCCAGAAATAACGGATGGGAAACAGACAGACAGAGACGGAGACAGAGATCGGGGACAGTGACAGTGTCAGTATCGGTCCCAACCCACCTCCGGAGTGCACCGCGCCGTTGCTCGTCTTCTGCGTCAGAGAGCGCCGCACGGTCGGTATCCCAGTGGACCGCGCCGCCGAGGTGGCCGAGACCTGGAACGGAACGAAACGAGGCGTCAGCACGGCAGAGCCCCGTACTTCCGTGAACGGCAAACTGACTGGTTTGACTGGCACTAATTTTCGGGATATCCGAGCCTTGGCTAATTCTTATCATTCAGGTTTTCAGTCGGTACTACTTTTGAAGTTACCATTCACCTAACACCTAGTTGAAGCTAACACACAGACACAACACAACAGCTTGCGCCGCAACATGCTAGGTCAACGCCTATCAGCTCTATTGATTAGATACTCAAAGTGTGAAGCCCATCAATACAATCAGCATGGTTACAAAAGCCATGGTAATCAGGCCTAAGCCCGTTATCGAAATGCCTTTCCCCCGGACACAGCACACACTGTGCGGAGGACAGAGGCACAGGGAGCACCCTCAGCAGCCCACAGTGGGCTCGGTTCAAGGTCGGTCTCTGGCGGATGACATCCAGCCCCGGGCGGCAGAGCGGCTCTGGCGGCCACCAACAAACAGACGGAAGCCGCCGGCTGACCGGGTTTGATTGACGCCGACCGACCGCCGCGAACTGGACTGGAGTCGGGCGCTGCAGTCTTACTGCGCTCCATACCCGACAGGCTGGCGGGTCTGGACGCATACAGACGTGGGGCGGCACATTCAACATCGATAACGAATCCCTACAGCCTCGGTCGTCCCATCATTAGGAATTAGTCACTATGGTTCCATCAATCGTAGAGGCTTCGTCATCAGTCAATACGGTCTCACCATTAGTCATGATGTTCTAATCACAATGATTGCACCGCTAACGTGAACTCGCCACACGCCTGTGGCACTGTCTCTCCGTTCCTCGTCTGGCCAATATTTCAGGAGTGTCCGTTCACCCGGAGCGATGGAGCGCTCTGACTGCTGGCGGCCACAGTCTGGCCCTGGGACCGGTGCGGCGCCCATGACCGGCGCGGAGGCGGGACACGCCCCGAACGGCGGCGGTTAGAACGAAGCAGCGCGGAGCGCCCAGAGACCGCAGCTATAACACTACAAAAGATACTTCACCGGGTAGGCATTCGAGTAACTCAGAATCACTGTTGATGCAAGAGGGAGGGAGATAGGAGGGAAGGAAGGAGCATATCCTGATTCCTGCATGTAGGCCCGCTATCTCTAGCTGGGGCGGTGCACTGTGCAGTGTGCAGTGTGCACCGACTGGTCAGTGAAACAGAGAACTGTGTGCCCGATATAATACAGAGTGCGATATAATACAATATAATATAATATAATATAATATAGAAATAGATGGCCCCGTGCATCCTGGGACGATGGGAAAGTTGCTCCCAGGTCCAAGAGGACAAAGGAACGCACACGCTATGTGATGAGACCCGTGCAGTAGGTATGGGACATTGGCCCTCAAACACAGAGAGAACAGAGAACTTGTGTCATGACAGCTGCCCGCTGGTAGTCTTGCGCGCCGCGCCGTGTGCCGTATGGGACAGCGACCCGCTAGCTGTACGGAGCGCCGCCCACCGATCCGTGCCGGGTCGGCGGCGGCCTTGTCCCGACCTCCGGGCCGTCCGTTCCGTCCCAGCTCCGCTAACCGTGACCGTGACGGCCGACCGTAGAACACAGAGAGCGGTACCGGCCGACGGTACAGCACAGACAGCGGTACCGGCCGACGGTACAACACAGAGAGAGCGGTACCGGCCGTCGGTACAGCACACAGAGAGCGGTACCGGCCGACGGTACAACACAGAGAGCGGTACCGGCCGACGGTACAACACAGAGAGCGGTACCGGCCGACGGTACAACACAGAGAGCGGTACCGGCCGACGGTACAGCACAGAGAGAGCGGTACCGGCCGACGGTACAGCACAGAGAGAGCGGTACCGGCCGACGGTACAACACACAGAGAGCGGTACCGGCCGACGGTATAACCCAGAGAGCGGTACCGGCCGACGGTACAACACACAGAGAGCGGTACCGGCCAGTTCGACGTCCGCCGTGTGTCAACAGACACCGGTCGGCGGGGTGGGCGGACACCAGCTGCCGCCGCACCGTGACAAAGCAGCTTCGATGGAAATCGTGACAGTGCTTAGAGACCCCAGAATTCCTTCACGGATTCTCCAAGATCCCCAAGTTCCCTCCAAGGATTCTCTCAATATCGTTCTGTCTGTGCAATCCATTCACCCTCTCCCTCAAACAAGACGAAAAACTCAATGAAAGACTTCTGAAGGTTCTTTGTGTTGAAGTCAAAATCCAGTCGTTCAAAACTGCGTTTTCACACATCAGTGATTTCCGCTCACCGCAAAATTAGGGAGCAGTTGCTGCTTTTACGACTTATTAGTATTTCTACAATCAAAACTCCAAGTGGACACCGAGCCAAATGCCATCAATGGCAAACAATGCCCAGGTTAGTACAAAAAGTCAGCCAAGAAGGCCAATAGTTTATCAAGTGAGCCGATGAAAGGGGATAATCTCAAGCACAGCGCCGACTGTACTCGGGTTATCTGTACCCTGGCTCGGAGAGACAACAGGGAATGATGATAAAATCGATAACACAGGAGTGTTTGGCCGCAGTAAACAAGATAAGATAACCAGTTACATCCATATTCAGTTCGCCAGACAGCTAAAGGGGTTGCAAAGTGGTGCTTCGAGTGTATGTAAACGGACGACGATATCGGTTATGTAGTGAGTACAGAGTAGTGCAGTGCAGCGACTAGACTAAGACTGCTAATCGTGGTCAATGCAATTTGAAAAAGAGAACACCTTCTCCTAGGACTTGTGGAAATGCGAAAGCACGACGACAATGTTAGATCTAGTGACTTGCAAGAAAATTAGGAAATTCGGTGGTCAGTAGCAGGAAGCATCTACCGCTCAATTTTAGTTTTCACACGAGTGCTCGGAGAGAGGCTGGTCAGTGGTCACTTTGTCCCTGAATTCAATAATGCCCGCGGACGGCCAGGGCCACGGGTGTTCTCATATTTCCACTTAAAGGAGAAGAGAGCTCTCCAAGTCCAGTTAGGTGGTTCACTTACCGCCACTCTGTCCACCTCATCGGTCGATTCTTTCCGGACACCTGCGGGCAGGGAAGGACACCGTCACACACCGAACACCTATCTACGGGTACATATAACAGAGACCGGACACCTGCGGGCAGGGACGGACACCGTCACACACCGGACACCTATCTACGGGTACATATTACAGAGACCGGACACCTGCGGGCAGGGACGGACACCGTCACACACGGAACACCTAGCTACGGGTACGGATAACAGAGACCGGACACCTGCGGGCAGGGACGGACACCGTCACACACGGAACACCTATCTACGGGTACGGATAACAGAGACCGGACACCTGCGGGCAGGGACGGACACCGTCACACACGGAACACCTATCTACGGGTATATACAGATAACACAGACCTGTCACACTGCGCAGATTGTGGTGATGGATAACGGATCGATAACAAAAGTCTACTGTCATGTATAAACTAGGTCATCAACAAAGCATACTTCTCACAGAGCCCACCGAGCTATGAAGCGCTGAGCTCACTACGGAGAGCTCTCTAAACGCTGAACCATCCGCTAAACATAACTCACTGTGTTGGATCATTCCCAATCTCTCAGCGTTGATTACGAAGGACGATATGGGCTTGGGTGCATCGCGGCGACACAGGTCATTTGGTACACTACCAGGTCCAAGAAGGTGCCTTACTGCCTACAGAGCTACACCATTTCTGCAACCGTTAGTCGCCCCTTTGTCAAGGCGTGTGGTATGTTTTGCTGGCTGGCTCAACGTTGCGCGCATTAACGAGGGCGACACTCGCTGCTGCTGGGTTCGTTTGGCTATTCTTTGGTATATGTTCCAGCATTTGCTTTTGGACCACCCCTGGTTTATTTTGTTTTGTACATTGTTTGTGCTGGCAAAATAAACAATGAAAGAGTGTGCGAGCGAACCAGCGATTGGACTGATGAATGAATGAATGAATGAATGAATGAGTGAATAAATGAATGATTGAATGAATGAATGAATGAATGAATGAATGAATGAATGAATGAATGAATGAATGAATGAATGAATGAATGCATGAATGCATGCATGAAGCACGCGGGCAACAGTGATTGTTCAGGAATGTAGCACGGTTCCCGAAGTTTGGGCAACCACAAAACACCAAATGCCATGCTTATTACACTGGGACTTGAGAACAATTGAAGTGAAGTATACTATAATTGATTATAATTTGCTTGTTTTGTTTTGTTGGGTTAGGCCCTTTCGGTCCAATTAGACCATTTTAGAGCCGGGAGGATGATAGGATGTAGGGGGAGACATTGGTCTGGGCAGGCACCCTAGTGAGTAACCGGTGCTGAGCCCATCCCGAAGGACAGGCCACCCAGCCCCAAGGTACTCACTGCACCCGGCTACGGGGTGCGCTCCCTCGGGAGCAGCGGTGCCGCTCCAAGGGAGCAGCCCGCATGAGATGAAGTTGCCTGTCCAGCCCGGAGGGCGGTTGCGGCGTGGAGGAGAAGGATTTCCGTATCCTGAGGATAGAAGCATGGGACGGTGATTATAATTTGATCATGTATCTAGCCTAAGGTATGTAAGTACAATGTTCGGTTGTGGTGTCGCTCTATGGCCGCGGGTGGTTCCGGACGATCGGGCGCAGAGCACTTTGGCAAGTACGCCTAGCATGACAGCCGTCACCTATCACATATGACGTCACCCGGAGCAGCTCTGACAGGGCTGTCAACCCTGACCCGTGTGACAGAGCGGCGGGTCCGGCAGCCCCGATCAGGGACACGTGTCGCCTCGGCCCGGCCCGGCGGCCGTCCCTGCTCCACCGTACCGGAATCGGACGGAGGAGGTGGTCTCTGACCTGACCTGCCTGACCTTAGCGTCTCCCATTTCCCTGACCCGACCCGCAGCTCCCCTGTCTGACCTAACCCAGCCCCCAGTCTTCCATCTGACCTGACCCACGCCTCTCCCATCCCAAACCGCGCTCCCTGTTCAGGCTCGCCGGCGGACACAGGGCGGATGGCTCTGCCCAGCGTGGTCGATACGGCCCAGCTCAAGATCAGCTGACGACTCAGACGCCAGCTGACGGCTCGAGAGCCAGCCGACTCCTCAAGAACCACTCGCTTAAAGGCTTTAGGAAGTGCAGAGTTCAAATATTCAGGGCCCGACGAGGACGCGGTATCGGCCGATCATATCAATATGCTGCTCTTATCGTTAAAAAAAATCCCTCCTTCAAAATGTTAAAGTGACTTCTGTTCTGCTTAGAGCTTTGAAGGCGGCCTCTGGCCAATCTCAGCAATGCAGATGTGCACTGTGCGGCGGCTCTGGACGAAACCAAAGGTCCCGTTTCGGTGCAGAGCCAGTCGAGATGGAAGCGACCGCCATCGATTGTTTATACCTAATATCTGCCCTACTAAGGGATATAGGACATGTCGGAGATGGCTCTCCTTGGTCCATCGCTTCCACAGAGTTTCGTCATGTCTAGCGTCGTCAGGTCAGCTAATGTGACACAGTGCATTGAAAAAGTTCGATTTAGTTATCAATCGTTTGACACGTAGCTGCATTCAACAACACCGTTGTGGTTCCTGAATTCTAAAAAATAATAATGAATGTATAAGCTACTAAAATGACCAAATAAAAGTAGCAATCTTTTCAGCAGAAAAAAAAACATGACAGTGTTCGTATCGGCTCAGGGATGTGCACCACCTCAGTCCGTGTGCGGTCAGCCGGCGATGTCCTCTGTCCTCTGGGGGCTGACCCGGAGCGGACAGACCAGACCAGATCAGACGGCCGGCCGGAGGGAGGGACAGAAATGTAAACAAACACCCAGCTGACCGCTGTCTGCACCGGACGGCACTGAGCGGGGTCGACTGGGGCTGTGCCTGCACCACGGACGGCCGCGGCCGGCAGACAGGCCGAAGGCAGCAAAGGGCCGAGCGCTGGAGGGAGAAATTCAGGGGGAGGTAATGCCCTGGTTATCCACTATCCAGCTCGGCGTGGTATTCGGTAAACTCGAAGGGACAATGAGAAACTGGGAACTTGGGAAGGTGTGTCGCTGACGCTTCTGAAGGGAAACAAATATTAGAAAAAAAAAAACTTCTGGTAAGCAGAGACCGCTTTATACTCCAGCTCAGGATATGGTCAGTGGTCCTCGTCGCTACGCTATCTACTCGTAGTCCGGCAGCTTAGCGGAGCAGGGAACTGGATATAAGGCCTGTTTGCCTCGGATGTAAGTGACGTTTTTATTATTTGGAATCGTATCGGCCTGATGTCAACATAGGATAGGATAGCTCGCCGATAGGATTAACGACCAGCGACATGTGAGCGGTCTCCTTGATCTGAGCGATATTTCAGCACGGCCCTTTGTGGTTAGCGATGGTCCTGCCCAGTGCCCAGAGTATACCAAAAGACGTTCTGCTGTGCTGATTGGTAGCCTTCCTGCCGTGCTGGTTAGCAGGCTTTCGCCGACCATTAGTGCCCAGCACCATTAGAGTTCGGTGCTCCGCCCCGGAAAGCGGCCTTTCTGGGCTCTTCCGGTCTGAGTGCTTGCAGACAGTCTGTCCCTTGTAGAATCTGCCTCAACTGCCATGGTGTTACGTCTATTGTCTATATGCACTGCTTTGTGTGCTCTGGGGAGGTAGGTGGTCTGAACCCAGAGTGACCCGTGAAGTGCGGTGACACTTGGTGTTCACCGTATCTGCTGAAGTGTGCGCCTTCCTTAGTTTCTCGACGGGACTCTGTTTGCAAAAGTCTGTTGTACTAACGCCTCGTCTCAAGTATTCTGAAGAATGATGTGCCATTCTGACACACGGCGAACAGAAAGACAAGTCACGCCACCGTGCGCTGCAGTGTATATAAATGAGACGCTCGTCTTTTCGGTCCCAAGAGACGTGAGGTGTCACTGACAAAGTTCACAAGAGTGACATTGCTGCAATGGTAAGGTGTGTCACTGACACATGGCAAAGTGTATCAGTGACACATGGTTAGGTGTGTGACTGACACATGGTTAGGTATGTGACACCGAGACACCGGTAGGATGCGTCGCTGACACAGTCGCTAGGCGTGTCATTTTGTGCCCCCACCACCAAGTACCGACGTCCGACAGTAATGAATATTGAACACCATTCTCTCTCTAAGCCACCGCGCCCTGGCACACCCACCACACCTACGGCTTCTGTACATATGTGAGAGCACAGGGAACTGCGTCTGAGACGCGGTCTGTTCGCCTCCTATCAGCCTGACCTTGGCCGTGCAGTGGCGGCGGACAGCCAGTGCACGCAGAGTACATACTGTTGGGTCCAAGGACGGTGACAGGACTGTGTGTATACGGGCCAGGGACCATGGCCAGGACTGCGAGCATAACTGTGTGCATACCGCCCAGGAGCAAAAGTCAGGGATAACGGCCATAAACGTACGGCTTAGACCACCAGTCAGCATTACATACTCGTATGTGCGGACCGGGGAAAGACGATGACCAAAATTGTAAAATAAATGGCCATGGAAAGATCCAAAACATAACCCCCTACATCCGGCATCCTCAGACTGACAGCCGTAACAACCAGTCACTTGAAACTTTACCTGTCATTCCCGTGTTTTCTCATAGCCCAGCCAGCACGGGACACGCTCTCGCCATGCTCCTCGTAGTAACCTCACTTACTTCCTCCCCCGCCGGCGGCCGCCTGGCGTCCTCGGCGTCCTCCCGGCTCGTTCAGCAGCCGGTCAAAGATGAGGATCCACTCCTGGTCCTCGTCCCAGAGCGCGCTGGGGCCGCGGTGCTCCCGCGCGGCGCTGCTCGCCCGCCGGGGCACGGCGGAGGGTTTGGAGGCCGGGTCGGAGGACTCCGCCGCCTCCTCCGGGGCCGGCTCGTCCATGACGACACCCTCGTCGCCGTTGGCGGCCTCCGGGTCCGGCTGGCCGGGCATGTCGGGCCGCTCCGCTCCGGCGGCCGGCGACACACCTTGGTATTGATCGGCGGCGGACTGCGGATGCTGCGGGTGGCGCGCGGAGGACTGCGGACTGCGGACTGGAGGCCGCTCGGCAGTCCGTCTCAGACGGGAGAGCGGTCCGTCCCGGCTGGAAGTGACCTGCCGTCAGTCGGTCACGGCCGGTCGATACCGCTCACAGACACTGACCACTGGCCACCGACCGCCGCGGCTCGGAGCGGAGACGAGTGGCGGCTCTCACACGGCGCCGATCCGCCGGAGAACACGGCAGCACGTCCACCTAACGGCAGCGGCAGCCGCCCGGCGCGCCGGCCCGTCACGTATCGAGCGCGGCGCTCCCACGGCACCTCCCGCTCAGCTGACGGTCCACAGCCGACTGACCGGCCGACGACCGACGACGGCCGACAGCAGCGTCACACCCAGCGGCCCGCCCCTCAGCGTGACGTCACACCGGCCGCCCACAGTAGCGTCACGCCGTCACACGGACCGCCAGCCGCGCTCTGTGACAGTGACCACGGCCCGTGGTCGATGCCACTTGCAAGTTTCGCGGAAACTAGAGTTCGAGCTCGAAGTTCGAGCAGCAGCTTGGTGCGGGGCCTGGTGAACTTTGTATGTTGGACGGGTATGGCGTCAGCCTGTGTTGGAGGTCCGTAGGACGGGTGTTGGACTCATTGGACTCAGTATGTTGCTTATTGATGCAAGATGTGTTGGTGTTGGTCCCGTTCCTGGACCTGAGTTGGGGGGCCCACTGGCTCTGAGTGTGTGACGGGTTTGACACTCTCTAAAGTCTACAGGGTGTCTCAAAAGTTCGTTCACAGGTACCAGCCATGTTTTTTTGTCAATAATTCTGAATCAACAAGAAATTAACAGTCGAAATTTTGCATGGGCATTGGTGACAACCTTCCTCAAGCAGTCTCATTGTTTTCAAGTGCATTCGACCCTTCATGAGCTCACAAAAAGGGTTCACCTCTGACCATGGGTCAGGCACGAAAATGTAGGTTGCAAAGTCGGGTATGTTGTGAAACTCTCTGTTTCAGGAGTAATGGGAATGGTTAAGTCGGAAATGACACATGGTTAAGTGTCGGCGAGGATGAGTGCAACATGATGATCATCTCATAAAAACGGTGGCTAAAATTTTTGAAGGACGAAACCATGCGAGACTAACGGCGTTTTGAACGACCCTCGCACGACAGCAGACTCGTGTTCCGGAAAGCAGCTGAAAATGCGGTCATAACTATTGAAAACTGGCAAGAAGGTCACAGACAGAGGTTACCCATTTTCAAAAAGTGCAGGTCATCGTAAAATAAAGACAAATTATAATTTAAAATTGTTTATAATATCTATAACGCTAATTTTTGGGGACAATAACACAAAAATCGTCAATGCCAAGGACACCTGACCCTCCAAAAGTGTCAGTTATTGTAAAATTTTATGTAACGAAGTTTCAAGAGGCAGATCTGCAGCGAATAATTTTCTTTTAAACACAAAATCCCGATAAAACCACACGATGGACAGGTTTGGGCCGTTTACAAAGCAGAACATCTCCCGAGGAAAACATTCCGCAACCGAGCGAAGGTCTTGGCAAGGGGAATGACGAGCGCTTGGAATTTGCAAAATTTGCACAATGTGTCTGAGAAACAGACGTCCGACACATTCTGCTACCATATGATGCGAAAAATTTACTCCTGGCACTTCCCGTTTGTTCAGGACTGGGGTCGTTTTGAAAAGGAAAATGGCGCTTGGGATGTCGGCGCCAGTCATTCATGAAGGAGTTAGCGCCAGAGAATGCCTACAAAATACTCAAGAATGGTGTCGATGCAAGCCGTCGGCTTTCAGGGAAAATCAGATGTTGCCGGGGAGCTAGTCAAAACTAAATCCGACGCAGAAACTGCAGGGGATTCCCCTGCAAGAGCTTGAAAGCTGGTAACCTTTTATCAGCCTCCGGCAGCTGACGGAGCAACAAAAATCGGTATGGGCAAATATTTTTGGAGATGCAGCAAAGGGGTTGGTTTCCAACCTTCTTAATCAGTTGTCAAAGCATGCATATTTTTCTAGTGTACACACAGACACCAAAACCTTATACTTTTGGCTGGTTCTTATATGCTTTATTGGCATGGGAAATGTGTGAACGAACTTTTGAGACACCCTGTACTATCGACAGAGTACCGGGATGGCTGTTTCGCGTACAGTTTCCTACTGAGGGACTTGGCTCTAATCACTTCCGGAAGTCATACAGTCAAATCAGTAGCAAGTGATCCTCGCAAAGAAATGGCCCAAGTGGAGCAGACTGACTTCCGCTTACGTTAGCTGGCCAAACCCGAGAGTCCTTATATAAAAGATGAGGTCAGCAGCCGCTCATACAAGCCAGATGCCCATCTGAACGGCATGGCCATCTTGCCACCGATTATAATACATAGAAGGAACACGGTTATGTTTCAGATTACTGGCAGAACGAGGACATTGGGATGATTGTGAATTATCAGAGTATATTAGCGGGTCGCTATTCTGGTTGTAAAGACATCGTAACCCGTCACTAACACATCGGAAAGTTACATCTTTCCTGGACATGAAGGAAGAAATTATGGCGTTTTAGCGCAAAAAAAAACGAAAGCTTACGGAGTAAAAATATACGGCGTCTTTGATTAGAGGATGTGCATGGTGTAATGTTCTTGAAACTGGTCACCCCTTTAGAAAAAAAAATGTATCGGATAAGGATGAGAAGGTGCAAAAGTGACATTGCGGGAAAAGGATTTGCGGCATGGCAACGTTTGAGTCGATTCCTATGCTTCCACAATTGTTAATCTTGTATGAATATTTTCAAAATACTTCCACAATCCGAAAAGTAAAATGGGTGGTTACAGATCTCAGTAAGCAGAGCTTGTTCTGCGGAATCATGGACTTATCATTGAATCCGACCACTTCGCCTGCGCCCCCATTCGGTATGCGTTTAGACCAAAAGTTATCATATCCCATAAGCTGTTAACATATCGCGAAAGTTGCCTAACACGACACATAGCAGTGAATAGCGATACGGTCCTCTTAGAGTCTAATGAAACCCTCTTTCGCCAGGTGCCAAAATAAGGATGACGAACGAGCGAGTGTTATAGTGAGACCTGCACGGGTTCATGCGCATTGCACACTATGCATAGTGAGACCCCCGAATTGAAATATGCGGGACAACCAAATAACCGGTCAATAATGGGCTGACAGCTTTGAAGTCATTCAGTCCAGCCATTTTTCTCTTTTCTAGATGCATAAATGGCCTTTGTACGTGCGCATGTCCAGCATCCTCCCAACTGTGACGCACGTATGCACGGGAGAAGCTACAGGCATTAGTTACCGTGCAGGCATTCACAGGCAAAGCTTTAGGCAATTGAGGGTATTATAGCAGTTGCATACGCAGCAGTGACACTGCGCTGAGGACAAACAGAAGCGGTGTGGAACAGCAGTCCCAAAAGCAGCTCAGACTCCGGCTAGATATCACCTACTTTGACACTTTGACTGTAGTCCTAACCTAACCAGGTACCGGCCGCCAACACAACATACAGCGGCCATGATAGTCAGGAACCAGGCCCACTTCAAATGAAGCAGTTTCATAATGCATGAAAGGACGCAGCTCTGGGAATACGACCATCAGATAGCATATCCAGGATTAAATAAGATTCTGTTACCATGCGAGCGTCAAGGAGCGTGCTGTAAAACGGCACAGCTACCGACACCTATCGGTCAGCAGGTGAAGTCAGTGTGGTGATGTAGATGGCGGTACGTCCCGAACACTCAAGACCATATGCGTCACAACTACATTTCAACATGCCCCTTGTTCGCACTCGCTCGCACTGAGTTGCAGCCAAGTATCTCTCCGTTCCGTCATTTCCATCCTCAGGACAGTCCAATCCTTTTCTTCCACGCCTCAACCCTGTTCCGGGCTGGACGGAAAACTTTATCCCATGCGGCATGCGGGAAGCTCCTCTAGGATCAGACCCTTAGCCGGGTGCAGTGTCAGGGGGCTGGGTGGCCTTCCCACTCGGGATGGGCTAAGCCCCGACGGGTCACTAGGGTGGCCGCCTAGACCAATGTCTCCCCCTAATTCGTATCATCCTTCTGGCTCTGCTATGGTCTCGTCAGACCGAAAGAGCCTAACCCAACAAGACAAAACCAAGCCCCGCCTTCCGGTTGCAATATTGCCTTACTAAGCTTGTTTTCGAATCCCCGACGCGTTCAAATCTACCGGCAACCGGTTCCAGGCGAGGAACGGGGGCTATCAGTCCCTGGCCACCATTCCCAGCAGAGGCTGACCTACCTGGTGTGACGGCACCTCGGGACGTCGGCGGTCCGGCCCCGGAATCGCGCACCGCGTCAAACGCCGCCATCAGAGCCGGCAGTCTGCGGAAAGATCAGCGAGATCAGAGGGAGGACAGGGGTCAGAGAGGACAGGGGTCAGAGAGGGCACAGGGGTCAGAGAGGGCACAGGGGTCAGAGAGGGCACAGGGGTCAGAGAGGGCACAGGGTCAGAGAGGGTCCGGTTCAAGGGTCTGACTGGTCACAGGGGTCAGCCGGAGGTGATTTTAACCCGCGCACCGACGGGGGTCTGCGCCAACTTAGTACCGACGGGGGGGGCGGATGACCGCCCCCCCCCCCCTGAGATCTCGAGAACGAAGCAAGATAGCGACAAGCGGTAAACGGCATCGGATACGCACGGTCAAGATCTACAATTTTTACTAAGGTCATTTTCAGGTCAGGTCAAAGATGACGTCACAGGGGTCGAAAAAGTCAAAATGGCGGCGCTAAATATGGAGAGTTTTTCTCGAATAACTTTCGAATTAGTCAAGATAGGAACAAACTAAGGGCATCATCGTGATCCTCTTGTCAATCCGCATCGAATGATATATATGTTGACCTCGAAAGGTCAAGGTCAAAGGTTGACCTCAGGTCACGTGACCTCGAGGTCATCATGTATATCATTCGATGCGTCTTGACGAGCTGAACACAATGAGACCATCCACGCGTCTGTATCTTGTTCCTGTACGGAGTTATTGGCCAAAAACCTTTGGTGACCTTTGATGACGTCACATGACCTCACAGCTGCCCAACAGCAAAACAGACCTCAAGGTAGTGAAGGTTGATCGTGTATGAAGTCATGTATGGTATATGGGGCCATTCCGACCCGTTTTAGTGGTAAAAACAGGGAGTTGATTTTTCCCCCATTGACTTATAATGGGGAGGTCGCGAAATTGACCTGACCTTAGGTCACCGATATCAAAATTCCGAGATATACAAATTGTAGCTACTAACGACCTAATAACATCCTGCGACTTTCAAAGGCCTCCGACATCTACTGTAGCTCTGGCACGGTGACAAAGTTGCAAAAAAGTGACTTGAGGTTGGGTCATTCAAAGTGACCTGGTGACCTGACCTTGAAAGGTAGGAGGTTCAAACTTGCACACCATGTGTAAAATTGATAAGGGAATAGTCATACCAAATTTCGCGGCGCCGGTTTTCCCGCTATTCGCGAAAAACCTCAGGGGGGGGGGGCGGATATCCGCCCCCCCCCCCGTCGGTGCGCGGGTTAAAGTCAGGCAATTAGTTTGCGGGGTGAAGCAGCTCCCGGGTCCACGTGGTTGAGTTGGAGAGGAGCTCAGGGGTCAGACGCGTCACATACTGTGCAACGGGGTCGCGCATATTACTAGCAGAACTCGACGGCAATACTACGCGCCAGCATATCACTCGCCAACGACCAGATCACGTAGGAGAGATGAGTCGTCGCTGGTGACATTCCCAGTACCGATACATGAAAAATGCATCGAAGGTATTGCATCAAAGTGCTTTCTGAAAGGCTCACTCTCCACTTTTATTTGTGTCACGGATTTCAATTTCATATCTGGCAAGATGCTCCTGATAACTGATACGATGTCTAATTTAATCAAGGTTTCACTGTGACACTTCTTTGAAGCATCACCAGCTTCTCCTCCTAGCTATGGCCAACGGCAAAAAAAAAAGAAGGGCACTCTTATAACGAATACAGCATACTCGCATGTATGCGTCATTTCTCACCAAGCAAAAAAAAAAACGGATACACGACACAAGCTCTACAAAATTCCTACCATAAACTGCATGGGGTAAAATACACACATTGCAGCTACACAGCGGCCGATGAGACTATTACAACCCCATTAAATAGCATTATTCACAACTAGGGGTGGAAATAAGTACGTGATTCATGTTAACGACTTCACCATTGCAGCATGAGTCCAGGTTAAACAAGCGAGGAGAACAGGAAGATGCTCCTGTCGACTGACAAGCATGACGTTGTGTTCTGGTGACCCCGTCGTTTGAAACTTCACTACTTGACACAAATGAGACAGACTCTCCGAAGCCGCATCAAGCACCGCCTCGCAGCCCGGCAGACGGCCTAACAGGCGCACAGGAGGCGGTGGGAGCTCAGCGTGTATCGATAGCGGCTATTTATTTGTCAGAGGACCGACACGTTATCACATTATCGCACTGTTGGTTCAGCAGAGCCGCGAGTCCACACCAGCCGTAACTCTCAAAACCGCCACGTGGCGTGCCCCGAATGGACTTGTTCTGCTGAGCGAGCAGGTGCCACGTAAGTGCATCCGTTCACACATATTGACAAACGACAGTCGTAGGGCAAATCAAACTCCACTCCACTTAGATGGCAACATGTAACGATAAAAAAAAACATTTATATAGATATGTTGGCTCATAGATACATATGAGCAGCCCTGCCTGATCCCCAGAAACATTATGTAGCACACCCTGTTCAGCCCCCTGTAATACGTGGCATGCCTCGGCCGATGATCTACCGCAGTCCGCGCAGTCCCCGTTCCTCCCATCCCCAGCTCATCGCCTTGCCCTCGGCTCTTCTCCGTTCCTTGTCCCCTCCCACCGTTTCCCCTTCTCCCCGTCCCCAACGTTTCCCCACCCCCAGCTCTCACCTGGCCGATGGCACGCTATGTTTCCGCTGCAGATCGTGTCTCAGTCGCTCGCCCACGTGTTTGTACAGCGTCACCAGCGTGCTGAAGGCGGCGTCTCGGACGGCCGGGGTCGGGTCGCCGAGCAGACCCACCACTGGCGCCACCAGGGGCGTCAGGTGGATCGAGCCGGCGCCGTGACTGCAGGCCGGGAGGGGAATCAAAACACATACAAACAAACACAAACAAACAATGCCACCAGAGGCGTCAGGTGGATCGAGCCGGCGTGCAGGCCGGGAGGAGACGACTCAACATACATACAAACAAACACAAACAAACAATGCCACCAGAGGCGTCAGGTGGATCGAGCCGGCGCCGTGACTGTCGATAGAGAACAGACGGCTAAAGACACATGCAACCCAATAATCAAACAAACAAACAAACAAACAAACAGACAAATAAACAAACAAAAAACTAACAAACCAACCAACAAACCAGCAAACAAACATATAAACAAACAAACAAACAAACAAACAAACAAACACAACACAACGCCAGTGGCAAAAGGTGAATCAAACCGATGCCGTGACTGTCGAAACAGCGGGAACCGCTCAACAAACAAACAAAACAAACAACCAAACACAAATAAACAACAAACAAACACAAACACAAACATCAGCACCAGTGGCGTTAAGTGGAACGAGCCGGCGCAGCTACCGTAGACAGGGTACGGACGGCAGTGGGAGTCGGCCATTACCGGCGGAAGGAGCCGCGGTGGAAAACTATTAAACACGCACACAAAGCCACACCATGGGGGCCAGCAGTGAGGCTCTCCAGTCTCCAACATACCACGGAACAAGATGTTAGCCGTATAAAACCGATCGCCAGCACTAAAAGCGTCATATTTTCTGTGTAAGGCCCTGTGTACGTGAGGGATGCGTGCGTGCGTGCGTGCATGCGTGCGTGCGTGTGGGCGTACGCTGGCGAGCTATACATACGTGTTGGTAGGATGTATCGACCATCGCTGCGTCCCCATGTCTGGCCCGCTGCGTGCACCTGTGTGGAGTCGCGGCGGCGGCGTCTGGTGTGCTGTGTATGCGGTCTGTCTGTGTGTAAGGTATGGGGCGGCGGCAGTAGGAGACACAAACACTTGTGGCGACTGAAACAGACCCACTCCAACTCGACCGGCAGTTCAAGTCGGCCGGGGTAGAACTGTTGGGACACTTTGGCCATACTCGCTCGTACCATTTAAACAGCCGGCAGACAGGGACATAAGCCGCGCAAAATGTACGAACCACACATCTCACAGACACATAACAGGCAAGCATGCTGACGGAAATCCTGGTAGATAGACGACAAAACGAACAACACGCGAGTCCCGGATGGAGCTGATGGAAGTCCTAACCACAGACCGCGTCTGGGACAGCCACCGGACAGCCGAGAGGCCGCCGGGTAGACGCTGAAACAGGCCGGGAACATTACACAGTTCCGTCCAACTCACACAGTGACGGCCTCCTGGAGAAGCAGCAGCATCTCCTCTCGCACCTTGGCGCTCTTGTGCGCCAGTGCCGGCGCCAGTCGGTCAAACAGCTGGCGCGGCGTCAGGCAGCCCGCCATCAGCCGAGCCAGCAGCTGGCGACCCTTCTCACGGACCGTGTCCCGGGGGTCTCCTGCGCACACAGCACGGTTAACGTACGGTTAGATGGGGGCAAAACAACGTCAGACACGGTAAGATCGAATATAGAAGTTAGACGGCCACAAGACACCGTGGCGTCAGACCGGACATAAATGGTCATACGGTACAGAGCACGGTCAAACGGAAATATAACACGGTTAGATGGAATTTCATGCCATTTATTTCCGTAGCCCCTCATTTTAAAAGGTGATTAAAACGTAACCACAAAATTAAGAGCTTTGACTATGCTAATTATAGCCATGAAAAACGCACACAGGTGTGAAATAACATTATCCAATTGACATTATCTACAGCTATCTAAATATTAGATCTGTAGCTATCTAAATATTAGAAGCATGCAGCTTGTTTTAACCATGGGTGGTGACTGCAGTGCACACTTCTCCAAGGGCTGACGCTGTTCGAAAAACTTCCAACAGTTTAGCACGGTAGGCTCCGATACGAATTCACCCGAATACGGCCATCAGCCGCGGTCCCACCCCAGCCATCCCCATTTGGAGCTGTTTCCGCCGTGCACGCGACCGGTGAGTCCTGGGCGCGCTGTGGGCGGCCGGCCGCGCTCACCGCCCCCGCCCCCGCCCGGCGCGTGAGAGAGGGACGTCTGCGCCGCGCGGGACCCACCGAGTCTGTCCACGGCGTGTGGCAGCACGTCCTTGAGGTAGGGTCGGAAGCCGGACCTCATCCGCTCGGCCAGCAGAGTCAGGATCGTCAGTCCGTTCTGCGCCACCTGCAGCGAGGGGATGGACGCGGGGTTAGGGTGACATAATGCACAGTGAACAATGCGGCCCACCGGTGCACAGCGGTCCAACTGGTATTTAGCGCTCACAGGGGTCTGAACCTATAACCAACACACTATACAAACAGTACAGAAATACCTGTCCCTTATAGAAGGTAGCAGAGGATAGGGAAAAAAGAATCACGGTTATGGCAGAGCATTAAAAAAAAATCACAACCTGCACAAGGCCAGCCATTTTCATAAGAATATCACTAAAATATCTGAAACGATTACGTCATTCTCGCAGCTGGTAATGTCAGAAAAGAGGGTGGGGTGGGCTCTCCCTTCCGTCATAGCCCAGGGGTGAAGGAGCCGAGGAGGACCAGGAACCCTATTGTAATTGGGTAGTACGGTGACCCGTTGGAGGGCAGATAAAAATGTCCTTCGCATACAATGGCATACGGTATCATGCATTACCAATTATTATGCATGATGCACTCTCCCCTGACAACAGTCATTCCTTTCGAGTTACACGACAGACAGCGAGCATTAGCAGCTATCCGGCGGCCGGCCTGCCCCGGCAGGCTGACGTCAGGGGTCATTCTGTGCACCAATCACGTCATCAGACAATCGCCCGATGACGTCACCCCAGGTGCGGCTGCTGTGGAGTGAGGACATCCTGCCGGACAGAGAGCTCGGCAGTAGCAGCGGAATGCGAGTGGGAGGCCGCCGCCCCCCACCCCCCGCGCTAGCCTGTCTCCGAGACCCTCGGACCTGCCACCGACCTGCATCGGCAGCATATCTCCAGAAACCGCTGAACCCGCCTCCGATCGGCGACCAGCCGCTCAGTTCAGCTCTGCCCGTGGGCGGTGCAACCGCGGCCAGTGGTGAACCGGTCTGCCGGCCGGCCGGCCGGTCGGTCCGGCCCAAAACCGCCAATCGGGCCGGGGATGAGGCGCGCTCGCCGCCCCCGCCGGCCGCGCGGCCGTCGGTCACGCTGTCGGCGGCTACCGGTTAGGTGGTAGGGCGCGGTCCGGACCGGGGAGCCTCGCCGTGCAGTGGAGGCCCGAGTCACCGGGAGCCGTCACTCAGTCATCCGTGGGAGGCCGATAACAGACAACACCGACAGAGTCGATACCAAACTACACCGGTAGAGTCGATACCAAAGTACACCGGTAGAGCCGATAATAGACAACACCGACAGAAAGAACCGATAACAGACAACACCGACAGAAGCGATACCAGACAACAGAACCGTAACAGACAACGACAGAATCGTAACAGACGACAGAACCGATACCAGAGAACACCGACAGAACCGATACCAGGGAGCATCATACAACCGATACCAGAGAAAGAACACAGACAGGACCGAAACCAGACAACACCGAAAGTTCCGATGACAATTACCGACAGTCCCGATAACAGAAATACATCGACAGAACCGATATTGATGACTAGAATAAAAATTTTAAACGACGCCTTCAGGCATTTATGAAACATCCAATCCTTTGAGGTGCGGGACATCAGAGGACGACATTATTCGTTGAAGCCCCAAATGAGGCTAGCAAGGCCGCAGCAGATATCGACACGAGAAATCGATTGACACGGTGCCAGAGCCAAGACGATGCCATGAGGTAGGTAGGCATGTCGTGCCCCGTCCTTCATGTGTGACATGATGCAGGCAGGCCAAGTCGAGCTGTATTATGTCCCCTGGCCAAGTCATTAACAGTTGACCGATTGCTAGTTTTTTTTACATGATTCTAGAATGCACACTGAGCTTGAATCTGCATTCAACAGATTTAACAAAATGTGACTCAAAGAGGAATTTGATTTTTTACAGACATCATCATTGATGACATGCCTGGTGTTTGAAGAATGCTTCAACAGCAAAGACTATTCCATTCATCCCTTTTCCTTTGTATAACATCTGTTGGAGGGTTTGTCACTTTATGAAAATGACTGTGGTTCTTTAAATCTAGCACAGTGTGGAAGCAGTCATCATTAATGGATGTTAACCCTCCATCACTGACTCTGACCTAACAATACAACATGACATAAAGAGGAGTTATAGCCTATAGGTTCTCTTGTATAGCCTGAAATTGCCTGAACTGACATTCTAACTAACTCACTATCCATAGATCCAGCCTGACTTACATTCAATGAACCTGGCATTCTGTCACTCACTTCACACTACACAAATAACTTTTCTGCATACCCAATGTTGGCAACATAGGAACAACTGCCAAAATGCACACATTACAGATGCATATAATTATGTCCATTGGCTATTGTATTGTACTCACCCTGAAGTTGCTTTGTGCGGTCCAAGGTATTATCCTATCAATGAAGAGTCCAATGTCTTCACATTCAATATCAGAGGTAGACTCCAGGTGCTTAACAACATCTGCACTCACTGAGAGCTTTTTCATTATGTCAGATGTTGTCAAGAGTGGAAGAAATGAGTCCATTTGAGACATCTTGATAGAGCTGTCAGAAGTCACCAGATAATTTTTTGACTAAGCTGAAGTCTGAAATACAAGGAGCATGGGCAATAGTAAACAAGAATGTTGCCGCTGTTCTATTGTATTTGCAATAATCAAATACATGTTGACACATGCTTAGCTAGCATATTAGCACCTAGTTAGGTACCTACCCAATTGATAGGCTGCCAGGGGCTCTGGCACCTGCCACATTTCACAGACAATCTAAAAATATATGGCATGAGGAAGTTGAACAATTCTTCTAATAAATTATCAAATATTAAGGTGTCACAGTTAAGCATAGCTACCATGCTAAATGTAATGCCATGGACAGATTGACTCAAGGTCATCCAAAACTAGACAGACAATGGACATATATATACCTACACAGTATCAATTGCCTAGATTTTTCCCAGAAGAAGAATGAGTACCGTAAGGTGGGGCTATTTGAGACAGTGGGGCTATTTGAGACAGTATTTAAAATTGCTATAAAATAAAAACCACTTAAAATTTATGGTTAATTATTTGCTCAGGCGATTTACTGCTCGATTCCACACCTCTCTGAGCAAAAATATCACACAAAAATCAAACGATCTTCATTTTATAGCAATTTTAAATACTGTCTCAAATAGCCCCACTTTACGGTAATGAATAATTGGGCAACATGATATTTTTTTTAGCCTATATTTGAGTTACTTGAAGCAAACAATAATTTGAAAAACGGTCTTTAAAAATCTAGTATTTCGTTTAGGAAAAGACGGGTGATGCTTACCTCTCAGTAGGCGGAACTATGGTCATGAGTACCCAAATATAGGAACGTTCCCATTTTTGGGAACGGAGTTCCCAAATATGGGAACGGGCGTTCCCATTTATGAGAACGGAAGGCAATTTTTCGGCCGTTCTCCCACTAAAACTCAAAAGTGCATCACGTCTCAAAAAAGTGCACGCTGATTTAAGTATCTACTAAATCTCCATAAAGTTATCTTTAATCTGACCGTGGAACAAGGAAATTGACCGTGGAATGATATTTTTAATGATTTTTTGAAAATGACAGAATGGTGGAAATATGGGTTATACGACATTTAACATGCAATTTTAAGGAAAATGAAGCATTTTTAGTTTGAGGTAAAGTATAATAATTTTCGCCTGGTTATGAACTTTCATACTATCGACACCAGATGCTGACAAATGCAAGCGAAGACGCGGACGGTCCCGAGGTAATATTGTTGACTTTTGTGTCGGGGCGGACGACCGCGTGGAACGTGAGTGAATTTACCGAGCTACTGTTGTAAACTCAGTTTAAGCGGTTGAAAATTATCCAGCTGTATTTTATCATCCCGGAAAGACATATTTTATTTGGATGCTAGCTGTTTAGAGTTGTTTTATAAGGAGCGTCATGAGCGTGGTTTTTGTCTTCCGTGTTTCTAAGCGTGATCGTTTTGGGGGAATTTCTCTTATATAGCTCGCTCTGTGTGGCTTATTTATAATTTTTATGCTGATTTCGATAATTCCTCGTGCCCATCCTACCAGGCCTTTTGCCACTTACACTCATCAAGAAAGGAAAAAACTAGATTTTCATTGGGACTAGGTGTTTTGAGGGTGTAACATATTCAGCGTTCCCATTTTTGGATACTTCCTTGTACTCGTCAACTATCGGTGATAAACAGACAGGTGCTTGACATGTCTCCACACTCAGCGCGGACGGTGGATATAGGTATGGAAGACCTTGTTGAACATCGCTGAGCGTTGTGAATTATGTAATCCTGCAGAGGGGGGCGTGCCCTCTGCGAGATCGACGGGAATAAAAGCGCAGAAGACCGGGCGAAACATGCGACGGTCTTGCCGGAAAGGTCATCTGATGATTGTTGCGTTAACAATAATTTGCGGCGTTGGACGTGATGCTTGTTAATGAAAAGAGCCCCTGAAAGGCGTCGGTGAAATCGTTCCCAATTTTGGGTACGCCGTTCCCATAATAAGGAACGCTTGCAGCGCCAGTGTACGAGAGCGTTCCCAAATTTGGGCTCGCGGCCCGGATGATGGACTGCTTTAGAAATAGGGGAACGATTTGAAACTACGATGGGCCTTACAATATCAAACTCTTTCCCAACAATATTGAGACAAATATCAGGCGGTTCACGATCGTTTTATATTTTTTGGACGTCATTTAACGGTTCTTTTTCTTGTTTTAAATAATGCCTACATGGCGTTCCCATATTTGGGTTTATCGTTCCCAAACATGGGAACGAAAATGCGTTCCCGAAAATGGGTACGCTTGACCATAGTTCCGCCTACTGCTCTTCCCTGTCGCCTCCGCCTATGCCTACTCCATCACAGATCACTCCTGCTCCAGCTCGTGCAAGGAAGAATAGAATTATGACATCTTCTTCGTTAAAGACATCATCAGATTTTTCATTAAAATTACGAGCCGTCAAAAAAAAAATCACGGCAGACACCCACCCGAAGACAGACTATGAGAGCAACTGGCGGGCGCACTTTCTCCCTCTGTTTTGTTTTGTTTGTGAAATTCCTTTTGTAGCAGCTGCGCCATAATCGACTAAAAACACTCGTTTATTTTGCTGTTATTTTTGCTTTGCTAAAAATCATGCAAATGTTCTCAGTTCACTTCACTGCTGTTATGCTATGCTCTGCATGCTCTGCGTCTGCACAAAATATTTAATTCATATCCAAACACTGATAAATGAATCCAAAAAGCAGTGAAGGGCGCCATAGGTCCAGGAGGGTCAGGAGCATGCCTAAAAAAGAGACAAAAAATCGCAAACTGAACAAAACTTTCGCTACTTTCCAAAACAGAAAGTTAGTCGGATTTTGATGCCGAGTGATATCAATTACAGAAAATCAGGATACCGATGCCAAACCAAATTGAAATACCAACCAAAAACATGGCAAATACCGAAACCGCTCTAGGCAGATACCTACAGATACAGATAGTTTATTCGGATCCTCCATAAGATGGATTTTCTGGTACCCACGTCAGTTACATAATATGCAAAAGTACACCACAATGCTGCAATAAAACAGTTAAAATAGATCATACCTATAGGCAGACGACATATTGGTTTTGCCCAGCCAGCAATTTGGTTTGGCTCAAGGCGTTTGGCTCAAGTCCGTTTTTACCCCGGCAACTCCGACATGCCAGATTTGGGCCAGTGTAAACAGAACGCCGTCGGAACAGGGGTTGGGGTCGATATGGCTCTATCCCACCCAGCAATTTAGTTCGGCTCAAGTCCGTTTTGCCCGGCCGGCAACTCCGGCATGCTACATTTGGGCTCGCGTAAACGGAACGACGTCAGAACTAGGGGGTTGGGTCGATATGGCTTTATTCCGGCTAGTCAGTCTTTGCCGTAGCTCTCCGGAGTTGGTATGGTTTCGGACCGCCAAGTCAGGCACAAGTCCGCCGCCAAGTCCAGTGGCGGATCCAGGGGGGGGCAATTGCCCCCCTAAACGGCAAAATTTTAACATTACGCCTATGGACGAGGCATGGAAAGAATCGATAAATTGTTATGGTTCGCACCCCCCCCCCCCCAAAAAAAAAACACTGAGCTGAATCCGCCTCTGGCCAAGCCCTCAAAGACCTTTGACCTGACCTTTGACGTCATTGGTGCACCTAGTCAGTCAATGAAATTGGGTTACATGGTAGTTTCCCGGTGGGGCTATGAAAACCGGTCGGTACCTTTCCGAGATCTTTTAGGGGGGCAGAGCGAAAGGGTGGCAGGGCCCGGGTCCGGGACTCCGGGACTATCCGGAATGCGAGGAGCGGCTTACAGCCACTTTGATCAGTTTTAGGTGAGGTCAAACCTTGGGTCACCAAAAGTCATCGAAGGTCAAAGCTGCTCGATTTCAACATGTTAACCCGCGCCGGGCCGGTGCTCTGAGATTTCGCGCCGGGCCGGGGGGGTGTCTGAACACCACCCCCCTTCTAACTCGGCTCCTGGGCCACGTAGCGACACGCGGTAAGCGGCAATCGAAAGAACGTCCAAAATAAGGACGAAAACACTTCAGTCAATTTTTGGGTCAGGTCAAAGGTCAGGTCACCAGAGGTCACCAAAGGTCAAATGTTCACTATTTCAACATTTTGGAAACTGCCAACGGCTATCTCGGGAACCAATAGAGCTACAGCGCCGCAGAAAAGCGCATTCGATAGCCCTTTTACAGACCTTTCTGAGCAATGTTCTCAGATTTGACCTCAGGTCATTGGTTTAGCCTCCAGAGTCCAGAGGGCAAAAACTCCAAAAATAGCCGTTTTTACGAAAGACGTTTTTTCGGCAATAACTTTTGACTCAAAAGAGCCATGACATTACTTTTGTCACCATCGTGTTCCTCTCGTCGAGACGCGTCGAATGAACTATAATTTGACCTTGAAAGGTCAACTTGGAAATTTGACCTCAGGTCAAGGTAATGACCTGACCGGAAAAGGTCATGTTGCATATCAGTCGATCCGCAACGTCGAGCCGAACACATCTAAGGCGTTTTCAGTGCTCTAGCACGTCTCTATCAGAAGTTATTAGCGAAAAACTGTTAGATTCTGTTCGTGACCTGAAATGACCTCGGGGACATAACGAGGGGTCACAGTTGCCATTGTCCGGTTCAGTGTGTCCATTTTACCTACATCTCGATGTTTGAGAGTGTTTAGAATAGCGTTCGTGCAAAACAGACGCTTTTCAATTTTCTCCCATTGACTTACTTATAATGGAGAGGTCGCAAAATTGACCTGACCTTAGGTCACCGATATCAAAATTACGAGTTATACATTTTATAGATAATGTTGTTCTAATCAATCGCTGAAAGTTTCAAGGCAATCGATCAATCGGTGTAGCTATGACGAGCATTCTTATTTTTTCTGAGGTGAGGTCACTTGGCGTGACCTGTGACCTGACCTAAGGTGACATGGGTCTGAAATTTTCACATGTGCGGAAAAGATGCACGAACAGGCGTGACAAAAAACAGCGGCGCTCCGCGCCGCCGTTTTTTGAGATATCTGCGAAAAACCGCAGGGGGGGGGTGTTCAAACACCCCCCGGCCCGGCGCGGGTTAATTGCTTAGACTAGGTAAAATGGGCTCGTACCTCTTTGAGCTGAAACATGAAGTTGATAAAGCAATTCACAATTTTCCCGATGTCCCAATATACCCTGGGGAAAGCAGTGTACGAGTAAGACGGCCAGGGAAGGTATTGGGATCAGAGTTGCCTTTCACACCGTACGCCTCCATTGAAGCGTGGTGAATTTGCGTTCAGCCAATGAGTCGCTATTTCGATTTATTCAAAAACATCCATTTCTTTGAAAACAATTGTAGTGTATTGTGTAAGCTTTCGTGTGCAGCTCCCTGGAGTTAAGAAATCGCAGTTCCCTGTGACTTGTTCATATGCCACTAGTGTTCATTCACCGTTGCTTTGCTCTGCCCTTATTAAATTCTCTCGGAGAGAAATGGCGCTGAACTTCTGGCTTATGGTAGACGGCCATCGGCACTTTTCCCCGCAACTCGTTGTCCAGACGTAAATATGCGACGGCCAAGGATTGTCTAGGTATTGTCTAACCAGTATAACGCCTTTTGGGGCGACTAACGGAGCGAGCGAGAGGGTGGGCCTTGCACGTGCGAAATTGCGAGGGGGTACCTCCCCTAGGAAAAAAACCATCAGGATTTTTCTGATGGTCTGATGGTGCATGGAAATTGGCCCACTGGTCTGATGGTCTGATGGTCTGATGGTTTCTGATGGTTTCTGATGGTTCAGGGGTCTGGTGGTTTGTGATGGTCTGATGGTTTGTGATGGTCTGATGGTTTGTGATGGTCTGATGGTTTCTGATGGTCTGACGGTTCTGAAACAGTCGCGCCATCAATTGATGGCGCGACTGTTTCAGGAATTCTGATAGTCACTGTGCTCCTTGGCGGTGTTCTGTGGTTCCTGTTGATCCTGGAGGCGCTCCCTTTCAATCACTTTCTGAGCCCGTGGTGATCCTGGTGATAAAAGGTACGGTTATGAACACCAATATATTTATACCACCACCACAAATGGCACAAAATACCTAATTTATCCCCCCAAAATTTTACCGATTTCGTTTTATTTTGCCTCAGCTCCTAATTTCAGGATCAGCCCCTTGTATCTCTCCGCAGACGATGTCGGAATCTCATCACGGAAACCTGAAACCTCTCCAGAGGACCTTCACGGGCAGACTTGCAGGGACCGCGGATTCAAATTCTCGTAGGGTGTGCAAGATGTGGCGATTGGGCCCCCATCTCACGCCGGGCCCCTTCCAAAAAGCTAGCGCCGCCACTGCTTCGGAATAAGCCGGTTTTAGGAAGCGGGGCGGGAAAACCTTCAAAATTGACGGTCGTAAGATGACTGAGCGAGCATCTTACGGTCAGGAGATGCATTAGCAGAGTAAATGCACATGCATGCATGCAACGTGATCCAAATCGATCTCCGATTTTCCCAAACAGGCCCCTAAAGGCTTACAGTGACCTTCAAGGGCCCCTACGGGCCTCAGAGAGCCCTTTTGCATAGTTGATGTTGGCACACTTCTTTTTATCATGGATTACATGAATTAGTTTAAAAATAAAACACGGCCGGCGGGATGTTTGGGCCCATCGATTTGGCCCCTATGACCTATGGGGGTCTGGCCTCCGGCCCCCTTAGCTTCCCGATTGCTCTACGGCCCACACGCTGGCTTTGGGGCCCATAAAGGCCGCACGCCAGCTCCTGAGACCCAACGCCGGCAATTCTAAGGGTCACCGGCGCACCGCACACGGTCTTTGAAGGTCCCATAACTGCCTCTGGAATAACTCATGTACATAGAAATATGGATGCCCACGCCGCTTCTTGGGCCCCCACACCGGGCTCTTTGACACCGTTCGCCGGCTCCATGGGGTACCAACTACTACCAAGCAAGCTCGCCTGGAGGTCCCCCACCGTCTCTTGGCGCCCGAGTAGCCTCGACGCCTGAATAGGGCCCCGAAACATCGACCTTGGCCAAAAAGCGTTCGTGTAGGCCCTCAGAAACTGGTGTGAGCCCTGAGATTACTGTGTGGTCTACTCAGGCACTTCTGTCGGGTCATCATGCATCGATTTGGGTCCGAGCTAGTGAGGGTTATCAGAAGCATCCTTTAGCCCTGCGACTTCAGAGGTTGGTGTGAGATCCTAAAAAAGAAAGTGAGGGCACTCCGAGGCTTGCAAAGGGCTTTTCCTCGGAGGTCAGCCTTGGCCGAACGGCGTTCCTCAAACTGGTGTAGGGCGCTGAGATTACTGAATGGGACTCTCGAGTATTGGCATGGGGCCCTCAACTATCAGTACGGAGCCCTCAGGAGCCGGTAAGGGCTCCTCTGCGGCATGCATAAGCCATCCGATCTCAGAGGCCGGTGTGAGATCCTAAACAAGAGCTGAGTGCACTTAAAAACCTGCGTAGGGCCCTCAGAGATCAGCTTTGACCAGACGGTGGTCGTGGACGCCCTTAGAAACTGACGT